TGCATCAAAATGGGGTTCTTTGAGGTGGCAGCACTTTCCCAGTTATATTTTAAGTGCTTTTCAACCTGAGGGACTCATCTTATGACAAGATGACCTGATACTGTTCTGCTGCTATTCATAAGGTTTCAGTAGCTAATCCCTCAGAAGTTCAACTCCTATTCCATTCTTAGTCTTGAAGCTCGATTGAAACCTGCTCACCATGAGCGAGTGACTGTGCTGTTTCAAATGCTGTTGGCTTTGAGCATCATAGCAACACGCAAGACACCAGTTATGACAAGCTGACAAATGAGTAGGACCATGCAAATATGTGGTAGTTTTGCATGTACCAGCAGATCTCAGACCTTTGTAACTCTGCTCAAGCAAGGCAGAAGCCAAGGGACTATTGCACTCAGAGGCCAAGGACTAGAGAGAAGTCTTCCTGTAGGCACGACTGAGAAGAGACTGCCCTGATTAAAGAAGTGTATCTTGAGCATTTCTGATCCTGAATTGTAACCTGTTACCATCGCTAAGCAGTCCCATAATTATGATCATTGTGAGTTCAGTTTGGCCATTGCAATAAATTCTTGAACATAGAGGATAAAGTAAGTGTACAATTGTTGGGGTGGAGACAGATGGTGTCAGAATTGGTAAAGCAAGTGGGAGGGTAGAAGCAGTTTGTGCCTCTTGATTACAAGAATTTGACTTCAGCTGATGTTGAAGTTAATTGTCCTTCCCTATTGTGAAAAGGCCTGATGCCAGCTGATACCTATATCATAATATCTGTTCATACTTTTCCTATGAAAACCTACTGCTTTTCTAGCCCCTTCAGATGGTTTGTTCTCAAAACTCAAAAACACATTTAAAACCAGTTTGAGTCCTTTGAGGATATTAAAACTGCCTTTTAGATGTGATGAAAATATCTGACATGACAGTATTCAGGGAGGGAAAGAGATGGAAGTACCGCCATTAGAAGTCTATAGTCCTAGATGGAAGACATGTCAGGTAGAAATAGCTGCATATATTCATATTTTTGTTTAATAAGTTTCTGTTTTTTAGTAATATTTTATTTCCTCTTGTAATATTTTATTTACTCTCATATCTACATCTCAGAGGTTGTTGGACAATTAATGGCTTATTATATCAGATAAAGTAAAATTACTTGATATGGCTTTTTGATCCAGTCTTTGTAACTCCCATCCATAACTAGGTGGGAGAATGCAAGTATTGTAGAGAATGCCTAACTTAGGGGTCAGTTTTGCCATTCCACTGTGTATGAAAGTTGCCTATCTAACAAACAAGGAGAGGAATTCCATGTCCACTGAAAAGAGTCACCAGTGCAGCTCATGTGAGATCACTTTCTGAAGTGGCAGGGGCACCAGAGACTTCAGCACTGAGACCATGAGCAGAGGAGCCACACTGAGACCATCAGGCTGAGCCATGAAGCAGAGTAGTAGACAGGAGGCTTGCAGAGTGTGGTGCTTTCTGGGTATTTATTGAGAGTAGCTGTGTAACACTTACCTGAGCAGGGCAGAGTCCAATGGAACAAGTAGCTTCAAGGCCGACAACCAAGGAGAAAGGTGTCTGCTAGCATGCTCTAGAAGAGGCACTGCTGTGGACCAAAGGAATGTAGGCAAGGTTTTCAGATCCTGCCTTGAGGTAACATGTTAACTTCCCCAGTAATTGCCCATAACTGAGAGCATTTTCTTTTTTTTTTCTTTAATCATTTTATTAGGGGCTCATACAACTCTTATCATAATCCATATATACATCAATTGTGTAAAGCACACTTGTACATTCATTGCTCATCATTCTCAGAACATTTGCTCTCAACTTAAGCCCCTGCCATCAGTTCATTTTTTCCCCTCCCTCATGAACCCTTGATAATTTATAAATTATTAGTCATATCTTGCACTGTCCGACGTCTCCTTTCACCCACTTTTCTGTTGTCCGTCCCCCAGGGAGGAGGTTAAATGTAGATCCCTGTCATCAATTCCCACTGAGAGCATTTTCTGAGTTCTGTGTGGCCACTACAATGGGTTATCAGGCCTAGCAGAAGTGCCCTAGGTAGGATGAAATCAGAAGGTGGAGGCGTATCTGAACTGTGCCTCATGGCAGATGTGGAATTAGATTCTCTTTCCCCCTTTGCAGCTAGAGGTCAGATATTGCTCCCCTGCGTTCTCCTCAGTATGTAAAAGTCATTTGGTGTTGGGTACATAGAATGTGCTATGGAAATGCTGGCTGATTTGATTTACCATCCTATTATGGTAGAAATATTTTCTGAATTAGAGCAGGTATATACTGGGTCCTGTTGGCATAGTGGTTGTGCTGGGCTGATAACTGTAAGGTTACCAGTTGGAAACTACCAGCTGCTTCACGGGAGAGAGATGAAGCTTTCTACTCCCAGAGTTAGTCTCAGAAACGTACAGGGGCAGTTCTACCACGTCTTATAGGGTTGATATGAGTCAGCATTGATTCTACATCAGTGATTTATATATACTCCCCTTTATGGAAAGTATATTGTAGTTGCTTTGTATCATTGTGTTAAAGAGGACTCAGGATGATCCTCTAAGGCAGAGTAGAACTGTCCTTAGGGTTTCCTGGGCTAGAAATGTTTACAGTGGCCACATCATCCACTACTGAGTAGCTAGTGGAGTCAAACCTCTGACCTTTTGGATAGCTGCTGAATATTTAACCATAGCATACCAGGGTTCTTGTGTGCATGTAAAAGGGTCAAACTGTTGAAAAATATCATGAAAAACTTCATTTATAAGTACATAGACATCCCAGCTCAGCATTTGCCCTACAAATACAAGAAATGGGAAGTTCTGATAATAACATGCTTTTGTTAGGTGCTGTGAAATTGGTTTCAACTCAATGACCTTAAAGTCCAATAGAACAAAACACTGTTCCTACACTGTCCACAAACCTGATCTAGTGTTTGAGCCCATTCTAGTAGTCTATTTCAATCTGCTAGGTTTGGGGAAGCTTTCCCCCAGTTCTTGCTTCTCTATGCTGAAAGAATTCACGTGGCAGAAGCATGATTGTAAGTCCAAGTCAACTTTTATGAGTGTTGGGTAGTATAGTCTCAGATAGTACAATCAAGATGCATTGATAAATACTGGTGATTGGAATTTGAAAGTTGGGAACAAAGGAGGTAGATGAGCAATTGGACAATATGGCCTCAGAGACATTGCCAAGGATCATGATAGAATTTTATAAGACCAACAATACCAACAGCTTAGGCTTATTGAGGGCCTTCTATAATTCATGAATATTAAAATGTATCCTTTCTGTCCGACTAAACATAAAATACTTGTAATGTTTGAGAAGAGAAAATAAACTCACAACTAGCAACTAAGGGGATGTAAACCTAGCATTGTGTCCCATGCTCATGGGCTTTCTCCTATCCCATTTTTTTACACTACAAGTCAGTTCAAGGTAATTAGCTCCACATCAAATAGAAATACACATAGGCTAAGAACAATCCTATGTAATACTTTGTACCTGATTATTATTCAAATTTTTAAAACTCACTGCCATCGAGTTAATGCTGACTCATAGTGACCCTATAGGACAGAGTAGAACCATTCCTGTGAGTCCCTGAGACTAACTAACTATTTGAAAGCCCTGCATCTTTCTCCCTCAGAGTGGGTGGTGGTTTTGAGCTGATTTTATAGGAAGTCTGATATTACAGGAAGCCTCAAAAACTCACTTTCAGCTGAGACTATAAACACCTGGAACTACATCCTCTCCCTTTCATTGCTGCTGAGTTGGTTTTGACTAATAGCAACCCTGTATGGTAACAGAGGCTATGAAAACATATTAGGAATCATGTCAGAGTTCCTAAGGAACAGCAACCGGCACAAACACAGCATCTCCCGTAATCCTGGCTATCATTGCTTTCAGCCACAAAGCACAGATCCAAGAAAGGCAGGCAGCAGCAATTTTGTTCTCATAGGGGCCAACCCTGGACTCTGCCAAACCTGTTTCCGGGGCAGGAATTCTGATACTTGTCTGCCCTCTTTTTTTTTCTTACAGGCTTGGAAGTTTCTACGTGCCTTTTTAAAAAAGTATGCAAAGAGAGAGTGAAGGCCTGGGGGATGATGAGGTAAAGTGTAGAGGGTAAGGATGAAACCAATCACAATGGTCAGTATGGCAATCAACCAACTTTAGTAACTAAGAGATATTTTATATACTTTATTTGTTAGAGACAGAGATACTGATGAACCAAACAGTCAAAACTTGTTACACTGAAGGTATTTTTTATTTTAAGAACACATATTTTAAGGAAAACTCTTAGATTCAATAGAGTATTGTCATGGAAATTTTAAGGTCTTTGGAAGTGACCAAGAAAGAGAACGCCTCTGTTTCCTTGGTGCCCAAACAGCTGAGGATGCTCCACCTTCTTCAGGTCCGCAATATGTTTGCTAACAATGGGTGTGGCAGCATTTCAAAACATGCAAAATTTCAGATTTTCATCAGGCGAGTGTAGATTTGTTCCTTTTTTGCCCTTGATTAAATTCATTGTATTTCCCCTTACAATGGAAGGTTCAATTAAGTATAATTGTATGTTTAAATTTTAAATTCTGAGCTAGAATATCACCTCACCTTCTTCCTTTTCTTTCCCTTCAGAGTCAAACAGATCAACTCTTGGTCCCACTCCTCTACCTCCATGTCCTCAATCTCGTTTATTTGGTATCAACATTTCAATATTTGTCAGCAACATGCCCTCCCCTCCCCTCCCCACTTTCTTTTGGGTCAAATGCTGTTCTACCTCTCTGTTAGGGACAGATGAATATAAAACGTTGAACGTTATCATCCTTGGAGGTCATTTCCTCTTTCTAATTCTTAAAATATCCAGTGACTTCAATTACTTGCCTAACAGTCTTGTTTTACAGGTTCTTCCAGTAACAAAACTATAGGCTTGTGAAGTTCAAAACTACAAATTTTACAAAAAGAACAGAACAAGTAAACAGGTAACTTCCTTAATAACAAAAATATAAAACTCAAGGACCCCATGAAACAAATAATATACAAACTTTTATTCAAAGATTGTTCAAGAAAGACATGTTTTGGTTATGTTTAAAGTGAGAATAATTGAAGATCTCAGAAAAATTATATCTGATCAACACCCATGGCTACTCATAGAAAGTGATCTTTTCTGTTAATAGCAGCTAAATTTATACACACAGAAAAATTTCTTAGGACCATGCAAATTCAATTGAGCTCCATACATTCATTATATTCATCAAAAAACCTGCAGTAATATTCATGCCAATGTGTCACTTTAGGGGAAAAAAAACACACATCAAAACATGATCAACCAAGATTAAACTAAAGAAAATAATAGGCATATTTTATGTTTTAAAAGTTTGGCACCACACATATTCAAGTGTGTTACACCATGTTCAGTCCTCAAAAGTGGCATTTTAAAGTGTTAAGCATTGTTAAATATCAAAAAATACAACTCTGTTTTACAATGTAGTACTGGCATAATTCAAAGTACTGTGCCAATTATAAATAGTATAATCAAGTTTCAAACATCTTTTCAAACGTACTTAAAGGAAAGCTTATACACACATTTATATGCACACAATTTATGGTACTCATGTAATCAACTGTGTTTTATAAAAGCAAATAGTTTCATCCTTCAACAAAGAATGTAATACCTGTTCCAAGATTTTCAGGGCATACATATTTTCAAGAGAAGAAATAAAGATAAAATTTAATTTCACAAGAACATACATTATTTCTTCCTCTTTCACAAAAGAATCCATTGTCATTCAATGTTGATAAGAAGCAATCTTATGAAAGCAACTGTTGTTTAAAGACTACAGAATGGGCGCTGTAGTCCAGGTTTGTTATTAAAACTCAGTCCGCTGCTGCTCGTTGCAGAAAAAGCCTACACAGTGCTTCTACCAAAAATAATCTTCAGTAGCTGAGGCCTAGATAGGCAAACGATCATATCCTCTGCTGAGACTTAAATGCAGCTTATAACTGGAGAAGTGCTAGTTTCTCAGTCACTTCAGAAACTTGCTGAAGACTGTTTCTCATGTCTGAATACGCTGAAAATGTTCCTCGGGTTCATAATGGCTTATCAATAACTGTGACTCCTGAGCAAAGAAATAAAACAGCAGTCACAAGCAGTATTCTATAGCTCCAAGAAAATATTGAGTCCTTTATTAAAGCATCAGGAAGCAAGCAATCCTGAGCCTCCTTTAGACCTGTGTAGAACTACCATTTTAAACGAAAGGACAGTGAAATCTGTTTATAAAGCTCAAACTCATTGCCATCAAGTTGTTTTCCAACTCATAGTAACCCTATAAGATAGAGTAGAACTGCCCCTGATGTTTTCTGAGATGAACTCTCTGATTGTGGTGATAGTTTCATAGATATATACATATATATGTAAAAAATAGGTTATATATATAAATCAATCAGGTTGCATACTTAAATATATGCTGTTTATTGTATGTCAATCATACTTCAATGATGCTGTTAAAGAAATTAACCTATTATGGGAACATACTATATATACCTCTTGCCCTTCGTGGTGTTTTGAACGATATATAAACAATAGTGACAGTTATTTAAGAAAAAACTTTTTACCTCTATTATTGCATCAATATAATAACAATTAATATACAACACAAAATTTTAAAGACTTACCATCAATGCCTAATTTTGTAAAACAATCTAGATTTTATATTTGAGTATCACTGTTTCTCTTACTAAGGAAATGAACCAGACATGACATTATTCAAGCAGTACCATACTTGAGAAAGAGGTTATTCCACAGCTTCACTCTAATACTACCCTCATGGAGCCTGTGCCATGAGATGTCACAGGGTTCACATTTCTTGGCTCTCTGAGTAAGCAAAAGTTTGCTATCTAGTGATTTCCAGTCCACTGTTAGCAGATGTTGGCCATTATTAAAGTTTGATATTTCATTTTGTACCACAAAAATTTGGAATTGTGAACACAAAAGATACTGGTACTTAATATCAGAATATTGTACATACATCTAATATTATTTTAAGAATAGTATATAAAATAAACTTTCAGAAAAGGCTTTTTTCTTTCTTCTTAATATAAAAATCAAATTGTTATGAAGCTGTTTCTATTATAATGGAAGATAAGTATTACCTGCATAACTTCTCCCTGTGCTCATACAAGATGACACAACTGTCCATTTATCAGTTGTTGGGTTATAATATTCCACTGATGCCAAGTTACAGGATCCATCATCCCCTCCAACTACATATAACAGACCATTAACTGCACAAACGCCTTCAAAAATGAGAGGAAAAGAACCTATTTTAATAATTTGGAAGAATACGAATAGGCTTGCACATGTTTAGAGAGGTGATCTAGAAACACATATTACTGAAAACAGGGCAAGAAGAGAAGATGGTTAACATGTACAGAATTCCTTCTGTGAGGATCTGATACAAGCTCTAAATTCCAACTATTTTTCAGTAGTAGCCTAATATATTCACAATTTAATCTTCATGATAACCTTGTTTGATTAGAAATAATTTGCATTCTCATGTTATACCAAAAGAAAATAAAAGATTATATAAGTTTAGTAATTTTTCCAAAGTCAGCTTTGTAGAAATCTTGCAAGAAAAGCTATTATGAGTAGAAGGTAAAATTTAGTCTTAATTATTATACTGATGATTAACTATGCTACTAATTCGAATATTAAAATAATTCATTTCTCACAAAAAAATTCAAAACATTTAGAAAAGCATAAAAAATGTAACCTCTAGTCTACTACAACTTAAAATAGCTTCCATTAAAGTTTTTATCTCTTTTCTTCTTTCTCCTATGCATCATATACACTGAGCTTTCTTTTTAAAATCTAAAGTGGCTCTTACTACACATGTCCTTAAAAAAATTTTTTTTCTTTATTTACACATGCTCTTTTATTAGCCATGATCCCCACTACACAATATATTGTAGACATCTCTCCAAACTAATCATTATAGACCTATATAATTTAAATGGCTGAATGTATAATATCACAATTTATTTAAACATCTTTAACTTACAGAGATGTAGTTACTTTCTTTTTATCCCCGCTTTTACCAGTGGTGCTGCAAATAACAGGATTCATTTGCCTTTCCCGCCAATGGATCTTCTTGTTGAGTAGTCAGCTCCCTAACCTCAAAGACCTCTGCTGGCTTAAAATTATTTTCCTGTTGTTATTTTTATTTTCTATAGATATTGAACTGTATTAAATTAGGGCTGCCCTTTTCAGGTTTCCCTTCCAAATTCAGATCATATTTTTAACTTGCTATAATCTTAGCTCAACTAAACTCCCAGAGAACTGGCATCACAGCTTGTCCATCTCTAATCTGCAGTATATGACACACAGTAGGCAATTAAAAATGTCTGTGGTAAGAGCAAAAAAATCCCAATATCAAATAGAGGGCTTTGGCCCTAATTAGTCTCCATTCATCAATAAAAAGTGGTCACCATTAGAAATAACTTATCACAACAGCCTGATGTGTCCCAGATATCATGCTACATGCTTAGTAGTATACAAGGCTATTACATACGTTTCTACTCTACCTTTAAATAGTTCAAAGTCTAAGAGAAATCACAATCATTAAAAGAAAAATGGCAATCTATAGTAATACCAGTAAAACTTCAAATATACACACTCTTAACTAGGTAGATACCTGCATTTCTTCTACACATGTTCATATCTGCCACCTGCCTCCATCCATTGGTGGTGGGATCATACACTTCAACACTTTTTCGTACTAAAGGGCCATCATGACCTCCTACAGCATACAGTAAGTTGTTTAACACCCCAACGCCTATAAAACACAAACAACAAAACTAAAGTAGGGCAAAGGGGGCTAGGAATTGATAACAAATGAGGGTAAGTAAAAAAAGTATTGTTATGAAATAATAAAACCCTTCATTAAACAAAAATAGCAAAATATGAAGCTATTGCTTCCTGATACAGCCTCCATCTGTGCCTATACGTCTGAAGGAATGTTTACATCTCTTTAACCCTGCCCAAAGAATTCTGTACTCTTCCATTTACGCCACACCAAAACAGCAACTGTAGAATTCTTGAGACACTCAAATAGTGTTCCTCTTAAATGTTTTAAGGTTAGGGAATAAAAAAACAAGTGTGATTGGGCAAGATCAAGTTGGATAGAGTGAGTGAGCGAGAGAAGGGTCACAGCCATAAAAGCCCTCCAGGCTCCTTACCCATCAGATTTAAACACTGATCTGAGTGGTTGTACAAGGAAGAAAAGTAAAACATACTAGACTTGGATTCTTTTGGGACATACAATTTCGTTTCAAGCATACATACATACACACACCCAATAAGATTTATAATAATTGACCTTGGAAACAGCAAAGAATCAAATGACATATTGCATTGGGCAAATCTGTTGTACAAATCTATTTAAAATGTTGAAGAGCAAAAATTTTACCTTGAGATTAAGGTATGCCTGACTCAAGCCATGGTATTTTCAATTGCTTCATATACATGTGAAAGTTGGAAAATCATTAAGGAAGATGACAGAAGAACTGACCAGTGGAGAATATTCAAAGTACCATGGATTGCCAGAGGAACAAACAAATTTGATTTTGCTCCTTAGAAGAAAGGACTTGGTCTCATGTACTTTGGACATGTTTTATCAGACCAGTTCCTAGAAAACAGACATCATACTTGGTAAAGTAGAGGATCGTTGTGGTAGTTATATAAACTGGTGTCAATTTGAGGATTCAAAGTGAAGGGGTGGAGTCTAGCTGTCAATCGGGTAATAGCTTGATGAGCTCATTTAGAAGTGCTAAGGAGATAAACAGCTCTCTGGAGACAGGATACATGCTCACTCCCTGTGAGACATCCCTGTGGAGAAGACACATGAAGAGAGGGTGATGGAGCCAGATCCCTGGATCCACAGAAGTCACGTGGAGACCCCTGCAGCACCGAGAGGCTTACAACACCACTGGATCCATAATACTTCCCACCCACAGGCCTGTGATATTCCTGCACTCAGCATCATTGCATGTGTTTCTTGAGTTTGAAGAGGACTTTATAGATTGGTATTGGTCATATGGGCTAATATCAGACTTCTGGACTTGGTTTGGACTGGGCTGGGATGCTTTCTCAATATTCAACTGCTGTTGTATATAAAGCTCTTTCCTATACACATGAGTGTCCATGAATGTTTCTCTAGTTTAACACTGGACGAACACAGTCAGCAAATAAGAGGAAGAATCTCTCCTCTTGGAGAGATGGATTGACTCAGTAGCTACAACAATGGGCTGAAACATAACAACCGAGTATGGCACAGGACTGAGAAGTGTTTCATTCTGTTTCAAGTGTTTCTATAGAGTCACTGTGAGCCCTCTGGACAACACCCAGACTAAGACAACAAGACTAAAATAAAAAAAAAGACAACAAGACCAAGATGAGAGTATTACTGCGACAACTTGTTTGCAGCCATTTTCTGGTTGCAGACATGTTTACACATAGTTTCTGTGGAATAAACCTGTGCATGGAGCTAAAACCCTAGTAGCAGTACTTTAGTCTTAGTCTTATATTAAGGTTAACTCAAATTATCAGAAACCACTACTTCAGAACTTATTCCTAATTGTGGTAGTTGGATAATTTTATGTCAACTTGAAAATGTATAAAAGTGTAGGGCTAAGATCCAATCTGTCAATCAGGTCACAGCCTGATGCACTCTCCTGGGGGGTGTGGCCTTCTTCTAAGAAGACCCTGAGAACTTCTTGTTTTCTCTCTCCCTTCTACCTTCCTGCTTGCTGTGACTATGGTACTGACTCTGAAAGCTACTGGAGTATTGTACCCACTGGCCTGAGAACTTTCTTTATGTTGCATCACTGAATGTAGCTGTGTGAGTCTGAAGAGGGACTTGTGGACCAGTATCAGGCTTCTGGACTTGAGTTGGATTGGGCTGGGATGCTTTCTTGCTATGTAATTATTTCTTGATATAAAGCTCTTTTCTATACATGAGTGTCACTGGATTTGTTTCTTTAGTCAACTTGGCCTCATATACAATAATGAAGGTCATTATCATAGCACATAATTTAAAGAGCAGAAATGAAAATAACTGACAAACAATAACAGTAAAATTTAATCTAATAGAAAGTGTGCTTGTCAAACACAGTAAAGAGTCCTGGTGGTTTAGTAAAGTGCCAAACTGTTAACCGAAAGGTCCTTGGCTTGAACTCACTAGCTGTTCTGTGGGAGAACAATGTGCTAAATTGCTTTCTTAAACATTGTAGCCTCTGTAGTCCTAAGGGGCATTTCTACTTTGCCTTATTGGATCACTATGGGTCAGAACAGGTATTACAGCAATTACTTTCATTTGAATTATGGTCAAATAAAGGAAAATTCTTATATAGGTAGAATACATAGAATATGCCATTTAATGCATATAATCCTTTTGAAAACAAGTTTTACAATGATGAAAGGTAAAACAGTATTAAAGGCACATAATTTAGAAGATATAACAATGAAGACTAGATATTAAACAAGTTCCTTAGTAAGCAACCAAAATAAAAAACTGTAAAAGAATACCAACTAATGTGAACATACAAGTGAAACAGAGAAGCTTTTTACTATAGTGCTACCTACAATTACCTGCTCAAATAAAGAAATATTTAATACTGTCAATAAAATCAACATATATTTTTAGATAATATTGAGGTGTCATTGAATCACTCCACCTTTAAGTAACTATATCACCTTCCTGCTTCAATTGTTAAATGCAGTTCACACTCACCTGCTCCACTCCGTCTGGTACTCATTTCTGCTATATAGGCCCACTCGTTTGTTGTGGCATTGTAGCATTCCACTGTGCTAAGACACTGACGTGAAGCTCCATCATAACCCCCTACAGCGTAGAGCAAACCTACACAGGCAGGCAATGACAAAGTCAATTTCTCAAACAGCCAATTTTTCAAACCATAAAATTTTAATATATCTTCGTCCTCTTAAAACAGTAATAGAAAAGGAGAAGAAGAAGAAAAAAAGTAATAGGTGGAGTGATCAAATCATATTACAAAGATCTTCAGAGTAGATATGATGCAATTTTCATCAATACTCTGATGCAATAGAAAATACATCCAGTATATCTTTGGATAACATTTGGTGAGTGAGTAACATTGTGGAAAAACATTCAGGAGAAACTTTTTTTTTGTGTGTGAGAAATACAGGGATACAAAGGTATATTCTTCCTCCATTAAAAAAAAAATGACGCACTAATATATGCTATAGCATGTATGATCTTTGACCCTAGGTGAAGTGAAAGAAGCCAGTCCCATGATATATGATTGTGTTTACCTGAAACATCCAAAAGCAGCAAACCCTTAGAAGCAGACAGTGCATTAGCAATTACCTATAGCTGGGAAAGGAGCTCTGGGAATACTGTGGATTAGGCCTTGGGCTGCTCATCACAAGGCCCGCCTGTCAAACCCAACAGCTGTTCCACGGGAGAAAGATAAGGCTGCCTGCTCCTGTAAAGACATAGCCCCAGGACCTTACAGAGCAGGGTTTGCCAAAGTGGGTGATGACACTAGGGGTGGGGTGCTAGAATGATCAGAAGGGGCTACAAAAGCACACTCCTATACTTTATCATGGATACAAAACAAAAGTTTTTGATTGTCAGGGGAAAACTGAGTAATATGTGTATTTTTTTTTTCTGAAAAGGGAGAAGTAGGTCAAATGAGTTAAAAACCTATGCTATACAAAGCAGTTATGAGTTGGAATTGACTAAATGGCAGTGTGCTTTTTAGTCTCTGGAAAGGATGGTGGAAATTGATGGAGCATGACAGTTAAACAGGTTTAAATTTGGGAATAATGAAAATATTAATTTAGTATGGTGATGCATAAAGTATGTAACTATATTCAAACCCAATCATTTTTATACTTTAAATAGGTGAATTGTGTAGTACTTGATTGCCTATCTCAATAAAGCTGTTAAAAATAAAAAGGTGTGGGGAAAGACTGTTTGGTGGGGGATGGAGTGAGAACTCAGATTTGGCAAGCCAAAAAGAAAAAAAAAAAAGCACACCAAAATATGATACTTAAAGCCCTCAAATTCTTTTTGGAGATAAAACAGCACATAAATAAATAATTGTGGCAATCCATCCTTTAAATGGAAAAAGCCCTTTTTTTTAGATGGCATACAGTATATTTATCTATTTGCAATATAAATATATTAAGCCTGTTAGCTGACAGTCTTATGATACACATACACAGATAAAGGACTGGTGGGTCTGAATCACTACCCTCCTTTTGATTACCATTCATGTACTTAGCCGCTGCACCACCAGTTATAAAGGTAGCTTCCTATAGGTAAGCTAATTTAAAAAACATTTCACAGTATTTACTACTTTCTTTTATACAAATGATCCTTTCCTTGTTCAGTTAAAACATTAGGGTTCAGATTACTGGAAGAACCCATCCCCCCAATTAAGAAGACATGTGCCTGGAGAGAAGCATCAGCACCTACCTCCAACCACCCCCACACCAACACTGCTCCTCCTTGTGTTCATTGGTGCCACATGAAACCACTCGTTAGACTTTATGTTATAGGCCTCCACGGATGACAGACCTGCAACAGAGCAAAGAACTCCTGTTTTCTTCATCTAAAAAAGTTTGATTGTTCTTTTTTATATACATCTCTTATTACGGTAATATACTTCAGATATGTCAAATTGGGCTAAAATTAAAAAGAAGAAAATGGTGGCATGTAACATTATCAAATATAAGATAAATAGGCCAAGCTTTTTTATTAGCTTTTTAGCGCTCGTGAGATGACTGATACTGACAGCTAAGAGAGAAAATGCATATAATCAGAACACCATTAAGAAATTATTGATGCAATTTAGAAACTTATCTTTAAATATAATAGTTGTTAAAATAGCCAAATTTCTCTTAATCTTGTCAGTTGGTTCCATAAAAACCATTAATGTATTAGATCTAATGACAGAATAGAAAAATGAAAGAGAAATCACCTGTGCTCCCATCGAACCCTCCCACAGCATATAACAATCCATTTAATACTGCAGCTCCCAAAGTGCTTCTCCGATCTCGCATGTTAGCCACACTGGTCCACTGGTCCTTCACAGGGTCGTAGGAATCTACAGTGCGAACTCTTAATGAGCCATTAAAGCCACCAACAGCAAAAACAAGCCCAGCCATGTACACCATCCCTATAAAAGGAACACAGTGTTTAAATATAAACAAACTATCATGATCTAAAGGACTGATTCTCAACCTTCCTAATGCCGTGACCCTTTAATATAGTTCCTCATGTTGTGGTGACCCCCCTAACCAAAAAATTATTTTTTTTGCTACTTCATAACTATAATTTTGCTACTGTTATGAATTGGGTGACCCCTGTGACAGGGTTGTTCAACCTCCAAAGGGGTCATGACCCACAGGTTGAGAACCACTAATGACTACTTTTCAGTTAAGTCCACAGATGTTAACATATGTTGTTACTTTTGAAAGCAATCTGATGGACTAGATCCTAAAGAACTTATTCCTTTTAAAGTATACAATATATACAATTATGAAAATGTGTTGCAAAGAATCCTAAATGCCCTCAGAGAAGCTAACTCCAGTCATTCTAGAGGACTGTCTGAAATGTGGTACCAAGCACTCAGAGGAGGCTGGGAAGCTATCCTTGGGTGTTATCCTTGGACTGATTCTTCGATGCTGTCAGAAGGTATACAGGGAATCACAGGTGGATGAGAGTCCCCACCCAGATCTCTGAGTTGGCCTAGTATAAAGGTAAGGATGAGGCACACACACCCAATGCTTCAGACCATTCTTGCCACCCAATCTCTTATGATCCCATGGAAGAAATACCAGACCAGCAAGCAAGGGCAATCACCTGACCAGTTCATCTACTAGAAATAAAAACCCAGTTACTGAGGTCCTGAAGAGAAAAAAAAAAAAAATCCCATATGCCTGAGTCCAGGCGGTCCTTAAGCCATTAGGTTGAATCACCACAGGAAACAGGATTAGAAGGAAACTCATAGAGGAGAAATAGGATATGGGACCTAGCAGGTGGCACTGCCAATCCTAGATATGCTCAGGAACAGAGGAAGACTTTAAAAATGTCCAGGTGGTCAGACTAGGGGGCAGGGTTTTCTGAGGCACAGGGGAAAATCAGAGGTCCCATGTGTCCAAGTCTAAGGGTGACACTAACTGTTGATCCAAGAAACATACCCTAAACTGCATCTGAGGAAACTAACATGACAATATTTCACTTGTGATATTTTATCACAAGTTATTTAAGTAAGTAATAAAAGCAAAACTTATAGGAAAATTTGCTACATTACCAGTGTATCATTTTGACTCTTGACCTTTTCAAGTATTTATTTACAATCTTAAATTATAAGGCCGAATTTTCTAACTACTTGAATCAGTAGTTATCTTCCACTGCTTTCAATTTTGAATGCTTTCCTGAATGTTTTCAAGTGAAACTCCGGTTTTTATGCGTATGTAGTCTATGAGCTTTGAAAGATGTTTAAAGTTTTAATACTTTAAAAAATCAAAAGTATAGTTCATGACTCACTGGAAATTGTACAAAATGCAAATTTCAACACCCATAAATAGTTTCATTGGAACCAGCCACACCTATTCATTTACATACTGCCTGTAGCTACAGCACATGTGACAGTCAAAGCAGAGACCGTATGGCCCATAAAGCCTAAAAGACCTACTACCTTGGCTCTTTATGTAGATACTTGGCCTAAAGACACCCTACAGGATCACTGGACAAAAAATGAAATTGCTAGACTCAAGGTTTCAGACATCATTTAATCTTTCTGAACTTTTGTTCGTGCCACTCTCCTGACCATACAGCTCCTCTACATATGTACACAGCTTCTTCAACTGCCAAGCCTTGGTTCAAATTTCACTGTGTTGTTCTCCAGGAGGCCTTCCCTGAGCCATTTTAGCCTATAGGAATTCTCTCGAGCTCCAGAACCCTACAGCAAAGAACACCTGTAGAGTACCTCTGAGGTCACTCAATCTTGTTTAGTCTACAATAATCTGCTTTAAATGGTCCACATTTCTACTATTTTTTTTATACTGCATCATTTTTTAAATTTAATCATTTTATTGGGGCTCATACAATTCATCATAATACATAGATCAATTGTGTAAAGCACCCCTATACATTTGTTGCCCTCATCATTCCCAAATGATAACATAACTTACATCACTGCTAACATCACTGTCCCATACCAGCATGTGGACCTGGTCCTCTTTGCCAAACGTCTTACTGTCTGGTGGTTTCTACCCAGGGGCCATGGAGATACATGAATGTGCATTCCTTCATCTGGCAGCAAGAAACTTTCCAAGTCAAATAAAGGTAACTAATTAGGAATTTGTGTATCAGGTAAAGTCCTGGTTCAAACAAGAAATGAATACTCAGGCTCCTTCCTGGTAAATCCAGAATGTCTGAAAAGAGCTGTGAGCAGTAGACTACTCAATGATCAAAGATAATTGCTGGATTTTATTAGCTTCCTTTGCTCATGGGAATGTGGTAAGGCTATTGGAAGGGTCAGGGGCCCAGTAGCTGTCCAAGATATAATTTTACGTGGATTTATAACCAATGCTCGTGGAAACAGGAGTCATAAAATCAAATGATGTATATTGCACTGAAGAAATGTGCTGCAAAAGATTTCTTCAAAGTGTAAAAAGTAAAGATGAAACTGAAGAATAAGGTGAGCCTGACCCAAGTCACTGTATTTTCAATTGCCACATATACCTGTGAAGTTGGATAACGTATAAGGAAGACCAGTGAAGAATTGATGTCTTTGAATTACAGTGTTGGCGATGAATGGCATAATGGGTTACAAACTGGACTTGCTAACCACAAGGTCAGCAGTTTAAATAAAGCCACCAACTGCTCTGAGGGAGAAAGACAAGGCTTTCTGCTCCTGTAAAGAGTCACAGTCCTGGAAATCCACAGGGGTGGCTCTACCCTGTCCTGTCAACTAGATGGCAGTGAGCTGTTCTTAAAAACAATTTTGTGAGAGAAGAATATTAAATATATTAAGGACTGCCAGAAGAAAAGACAAATCTTTTCTTGGAACAAATACAACCACAATGCTCCTTCAAAGCCAGGATGCCAACACTGTGGCTCATTTATTTTGGATATATTATCAAGAAGAACTAGTCCTTGGAGGACATAATTTTTTTAAATTAAATACTTTTATTGGGGGCTCTAATATCTCTTATCACAATCAATACATTCATTCATTGTATCAAGCACATTTGTACATATGTTGCCATCATCATTTTTAAAGCATTTTCTTTCTACTTGAGCCCTTGATATCAACTCCCCATTTTCTCCCTCCCTCATGAACCCTTGATTAGTTATAGATGATTATTTTCATATCTACATCATCCTCTGTCACCCTTCACCCACTTTTCTGTTGCTTGTTCCCATGGTAGGGGGTTATACGTTGATCCTGTGATTGATTCCCCATTTCTCTCCCCACTTCCACTTATCCTCCTGGCATCTCTATTCTCATTGTTGGCTTTGAGGGGTTTATCTATCCTGGATTCCCTGTGTTTCAGGGCTCTTATCTGTAGCAGTGTGGATGTTCAGGTCTAATCCAATTTGTAAGGTAGAACTTAGGTCATGATAATGGGGGGAGGAAGCATTAAAGAACTAGAGGAAAGTTGTATGCTTCATACATGCTATACTGCACCCTGACTGGCTCATCTCTTCCTTGTGGCCCTTCTGTGAAGGGATGTCCAATTGTCTACAGAGGGGCTTTTGGGTCTCCACTCCACTTCCACCCCCCACCCCCCACTCACATTGGTATGATTTTGTTCTGGGTTTCAGATGCCTGATACCTGATCCCATTGACACCTCATGATCACACACGCTGGTGTGCTTCTTTCATGTGGGCTTTGTTGCTTCTCAACTAGATGGCCACTTGTTTAACTTCAAGACTTTAAGACCCCAGATAGCTGGGCATATCAGCTTTCTTCACCATATTTGCTTTTGTACCCATTTTGTCTTCAGCGATCGTGTCGGGAAGGTGAGCATCACAGAATAGCAGATTATTAGAACAAAGTGTTCTTGTGTTGAGGGAGTACTTGAGTCGAGGCCCAATGTCCACCTGCTACCTTAACCTTCATACATATAGATATAAGTACATAAATCAATTTCTCAATTGTTATATAAAAATATATTTACATATGTACATGCCTGTATTTAGACCTCTATAAATGTCCTTTGCCTCCTAGTTCTTTCCTCTATTTCCTTTTACTTTCCTCTTGTCCCACCATCACGTGTGACCTTCATTCAGGTTTAGTAATTCCTCGCTGTTACATTGCCCTTGATTAAGCCCCACTAGACATCCTCTGCCCTTCTCTCCATTGATTTTAGTTCATTTGTTGTTCCCTTGTCCCTGAGTTGGTTGACACCTCCCCTTCCTTTCTCCCACCTCCCCTTTGCCTGTGCCCCCCTCAATCGTCGGTCCCATAGTTTTCATCTCCGAATTGTTTATCCCACCTATCTTAACTAGATAGGCATGAAGAGACATTAATAAGCACAAAAACCAGGCAAAACCAACAAAACAACAACAAAAAGAAAGCCAATGACAAAAAAAAGAAAAGCCTAAAAATTAGTTCCAGGTCTGTTTTTTGACCTTTAGGAGTGTTTTCCAGTAGAATCTGATGGGGTGCCACTACTCTGTCCCCAAAGTCTATTTTTGGTACTCCCCAGGGATTTCATCCCTTTGCTCCCCACGTGTTCTGTTGCACGCCCTTAGTGTTTTGCCCCAATGTGATGGGGTCAGATTGGGCCTAATTCCTGCACTGTGTCTGCAGTGTTGTCCCCTGTAGTGCTATGGTTCAGTGAAGGATATCATGTCTCCTGGTGGGGCCAGCCCTATGGTCCTCTCTGTGTATTGTCTGTTTGAGCAGGAATATCGTCCTCGGGCTTGGTGGGCCAGGATGTGTTCCCCTCACTCTCCATCCCTCTTCACTTCTCCTGTAAGCTCTAATCAGACGAGCACCTCTCCTCAAGTTGTTGCTCCAGTGCTGTCCTCTGAAGTACATTCTTTGGGGGCGGGAGGGGGCGTGGGTGCACATAGTTGAGATTGGGGCCGGTCCCGCAGAGGACATCATTCTTGGTGAAAGAGAGGGTTAGTGAAAAAGAGGAAGACCCTCAATGAGCTGCATTAATACAAATGAGAAGGCTGCAAATCTGGGCTAAAACACAGGAACAACCGTGAGGATTACACAAGATCAGGCAGTGTTTTGTTCTGTTGCACTTAGTCAGGCTGCTATGAGTTAAAACTAACTTGGCGATACTTAATAACAACACTGAAAATTATAATGTAATAAAAGGGAAATGTTTCAGGAATCAGAAACTAATTAGTAAAAATTATGGAAAATTGCATTTCAAACAGTAACAATAAAGCTAAGATGTCAAAGGATAAACTAGACAAGAAACAAATAGAACTATATCAAGAAAATGTTGTAAATCTACCAAAATACATAAAATAAATGAATAAATAGAAATTTGTAACTTGTTTTAAATGAGAATATTAGCACTATAAATGTAGCTATTTGTCATAAACTAATTATTCCAGAGTAGGAGCCCAGGTAGCATAGTGGGTTACAAGTTGGGCTGCTAATCAGAAAATTAGCAGTTTGAAACCAATGGGAGCAAGATGACACTTCCTACTCCCATAAGGAGTTAATCTTGGAAACCCACAAGGGCAGTTATACCCTGTCTTATAGTGATTCTCTGAATTAGAAATGACTTGATGACAGTAAGCATTATTACCAGAGTTATCAGGAAAATTCTGATTAAAGCTGGAGTAATAAGGAACTATTCTTACACCATATTGAAGATATTATAAAGCACAGTAAGTCAAACAGCTATTTCCATGCATTAACAGGCAAGACAACAAAATAATGGAAGAGGAAATTCAGAACGAAAAGTACATAAACATGGAAATTTAGTATATGGAAAGGGCAGCATTTCAAATGAATGGGAGCAGATAGATTAGACAGTAAAAGGTGTTAAAAGCTAGCTAGTCATTAAGAAAAGAAACCCATATACCAAAATAAAGTCCAAGTATTATAGATATTAATACAAAATTAAAACTATAAAATACTAGAAAGATACACATTTAATAAAATAAAAATTTCTTACAGTGGAGAAACCAACAAATAACACCTTTCCCAAGTGTTCAAGCCTAAGTACCATCACCAGAAACAACCATGTGGCTATTGTGTGCCCCCAGGTATTATGTTCTAAAAAGGAAAAGTTACCTCTGTGATCTTTCTTCCAAAAATCCATAAACTCATTTTAATCCTGATAAAACACCAGAAAAGTCCAAATTGAGAGACAGTTAATTACCCTAGTTACTACTCACAAAAGAATTTAGAGCATTGTCTTTGTAGAATATATTAATATGTTGATACAGTGCTACTTATCATAGAACTGTTCCATTGCACTGAGAACTCAAATTGCTAAAATAATAGCTCAGTTAAAGAAATATGGATCTAAGTTTGAATCCCAGAAATAATCCTAAGAATTTGCAACTGCTTCTGTTGATTGCAGTTTTGACCAAGCAGAGTCTATTTCATAAAATGTTTATAAAACAAATGATTAAAGCACAGCAATATGGTTAATAAGCCATTGAGTCGGGTGTCTCCTAGAACAAAGGGTATCAAACCAAATAGTTCTTTTGATAAAATTTTAGCAAAGGTAACAACAACAACAACAAACCAAACAAGGAAACAAACCTACTACTGTGGGGTTGATTTTGAGTCCTGAAAACGAGGGGGAAACAAACAAAATCAAGCAAATTTCAAAGTACTTCATCTTACACTGAGAGAGTAAGAAAGATCTAGAAGGACAAAGATCAAAGTAAATAATCCCATCAGTATTTTAAGTGAGCTATATTGGGCTCCTGAACAATTGTTTAACTTCACAGTTAGGTTAACAATACTCTTCTAAAAGAGATTATTCTAAAAAAGAAAACATGATCTGAGGAGGTACTCAGTGATTCTGCAGAAGGGAACTGGCCACAAGGCATCCAGCTTACTTACCAGCTCTGCACCTCCTGGAAGGCAATTCTGCTACTTGGTGCCATCGCTCTTCTTTGAAGTCATAGCATTCCACACTGCGGATAGCCTTTGGGGCCTGCCCTCCAACCACCACCATCAACTGGAAGAGCAAAAGGGTACAAACTTGAACAGATGACTACTGCATATTGAGGCATGTAAAATGCCTACAGAGATACTGGTGTGGAAAGTGTTAGGGTGAAAATGGTAAACAAACACCTCATCAACATTTCATTATGTCAACAAAAGGGGCACGTGTTAGAACTAAAACTCTTATTATCTAGCACATTTAGTAAAAAACAAGGGTGTCAGAAACTAACCTAAGTTTCTGATCCTTCAGGCAGAAGCAGAATTTAAGTCAAAAAACAAAAACAAAAAAAAACAGCAGGCAGTCAGCACTGGCAGGGCTGCAATATGTCATAGTGCTTGCTATAAGCGGGATCCTGGCTTTTCAGTGCAGATTCAATCTCCACATACTAGGAGAGCAGATGGAAACAAGATGTCTGTTCATGGGTAGATGAGGTGAAAAGGATAGTAAGGTATTAAAAGAAAAATGAAATGGGAAGGGGGAGACCTATTGAAAATAGGTGCATTACAGAATTAGAGCTCACAAGCAGGCACAGATTCTTGGATCTGGAGAGATCTGCCTTGATGCCCCACAAATAAAACAGCTTCTTTGAAGATTAACAGAGATCTTAATGAACAAATCCACAATAGTTCAGTTCTGAGAATAAATGAGATCTTTAGGTTCCACTTCATCCAACAATTATTTGCTGAGTGCCTCCGACCTGCACGAGTATAAAACTTCTGTTGACTGACTATATGACACATTCTCTACCCTCCTAGAATGTATAGATCTCACTGAAATGACAAGATATACGAAGTCATTCAAGAATATAAAATTATATAGAATCAAAAGTCATATTAATTGTTAAGAAAATAGGGAGTTCCCATAAATCAGTGAATGCTTCCTGGAGGGTGAGGAATTTAATCTAAGGACTTGAGAGATCAATGGGCTGTATACCTCAATGTGGTTGTCTTTTACTGAGTGCATATGGGTTCTCAGGCAACACTGAAACACAAGATAGTAAATCATATGTAAATGTTAAAAATGTCTCATACAGAAAAACTATCAAAAATGGCAAGGTTCTTGTGGAAAACATGGAGCTTATGACAGGAAAAGTTATTAAAAAGAAAAAATAATCAAAACAAACAGACCATGGGATAACTCATACAAACACAATGGGGAGTTTTGTAACTCTGGCTGAGCAATGATCTATCTGTACTGAGAACTTTAAGAATAGGTACATAAAACACATAATTCCTGTCTCAGAGCAATTCCGTTTCTCAAAAGAACAAGTCTATCTTAGTAAGTTAGAAACTGGGTAGTAGAAAGATTATTATAAACCAAACATGATCCTTTTTAGATATGCATTCTTCTAGTATTTAATGCAAATAAATAAAAGGAAGAATTAACAAAGAACATTACACCAAGCATTACCCTTCACATTACCAGATATTAAAAAAGGGGGTGGGAGGGATTAAGGTCGCAAAATCACAAATGTAAGCATAAGATCAATTCTGTAATTGGGGTTTATCTAAGATCTGTACTCAGAATAACTAATTATGTGCCTGATGATGACCAGTTAAAACAAAAACCTACAAGAGAAAAAAATTTTTTAATCCATATAACAGTACTGATTTATGAATTTCATGATTTTTAAAGAATGAATCTCATGATTTCCATGAAAAATTTCCCTGCACGTAAAGGATGGAAGGTAAATGTACTCTTACATACAGAGAATGGCAATGACATTTGTTCTTTATTCATCCAACAAAGGTAACATGGGGTAGGAATTTGGAATTTCAGGAATCAGGCATATGGGGACCAGGTAGGATACGCAACAAGACACCAGGAAAGCACGGACATTTAAATGAGCTCAAGTAACTGTGCTTAGGGGAAAAAAAACAGTGCATGGCTATCATCCAGTAAAAGAGTGACTCAAAACTTAAGACACCCAGTTATTTTTAAAAGCCAGCTGATCTCCTTTGATAACCCTACTAATTATATGAATAAAACAGATCTGGGAAAGTGGAAAGACCTTTTATATGCAAACTTAATTCTCTCCTTCCACATAGCTTGGATGTTCCTGTGATGCTGAACAGGCTTAGGAGGGGTTTCCAGACCAGGATGAACTAGGAAGAAAGGTCTGTAGATCTGCTTCCAAAGAAAGACCAGTCAGTGAAAGCCCTATGGATCAGTCTAACTGTGCAAGTGGTTGCTATGCATCAGGGGCCCACTCGATGGCAGCTAACAACAACTTAGTGAAATGTAAGCCAAGTGTATTCTAAGTAGGGAAGTAAGAATGGAGGAAATATTAATTGAAAATACAGAGTCCAAAAAGAAAGAGAATGAATACTGAAGTACAATAAGAAAGGAGAGTTTATCATTATGATCTTTAACTCCAAACAAAGGTGCCTTACACAATCCCAACATTGTTTATTAGGAATGCAAAACTAATGATTGAGCTACAAAGAGAATCCTTCCGGTACATTTAGAGTACATTGTTACTAGTCCACAGACTCAAGATCTAATAAAAAAGTGCTAAGTCACTGTTAGCGTTGAAATAGCATCAAAATCTTACAATAGTCTCCTCAGTATTGCTACCATACTTCCTCCAATTGGACTTAGTGGTGTAAAATCTCTCACTGTTATGAAATATGTCAGCATGAGAAATTGTTCTTTCCTTCATTCTTACTTACCTACTCAGAATTGGTTGTGAAAATACCTTTTTAAAGTGACAAATGATGTCCTTAAAAGAGCATTCAACAGAAAAGCAACTTTGCAAAATTATGTAGGGATAAATGAACTTTGAGAAAGAATCATGCAAAGGGAACATGGAAAGTCAAAGCAACAGAGTTGCTTATTGTACACCCTCCTTCCTAGTCATGCTGTTATGTGGGGAACAGAAGGATTTCTCTTAAGCTGTCTCCCCAATAATATGTACCAGATTTAGCTGCTTGAGAATGACTGTACACTAGGCGGTCAGTGAAAGTAGGTCAGAGGTTATTCTCCTTAACATCAGCCATCTAGAGCAACCAGACTGTATAGTCTGACTCACCCTAAGTAGGACCCAGTCCCTTCTGTTATTTTTCCTTTGAAGCAGTGCCCAAAAGGCAAGCCTGGGACCACTCTAGGATGATTAAGCTTAGGCTACCATCTTGCCACACATGCCCCCCTATTCCCTCCTCTTACTATTGCGCGTTCACCCCTAGGTCATCCCCTTCCTATTGCTTGTATTGTCTATGTTACAACCCCTCTCTATGACGTAGGTTGTTATCTGCTATCAGGGGGCTAGCAGGCCTCCCAGGATAGTAATTGTCTGTTTTATTGTATGAGACACCAGAGTGATCAAACTTGTTCAAGGATGAATTGTACTGCCCCTTTCTGTGATGTATGATTCTGTAATCAGATCTCCCTAAAGTGTTATGATGCGTGGTTAGCAATAAATAAGGAGGCTCCCTGGTTCTCGGGAGGGTGGCTGAGGAGGACGAGGCAGCTGCTTCGACTCTGGCGGCTAAGTTCCCTCCACGAGGACCATCAAGTGGGGCTGAGGTGAGCAATGCAACCATGAATTGCATCTGACTCCATTACTTGACTCCATCTTTTAGCTCTCATGATATCTATGACTTTACTATAATCTTTACTTATTATCGCTGTACAATTGCACCTACTGAACTTGTGATGTTTTATGGGGTTCCCTCTTCCCTTTAATCCCATACTGATAGATTAGAAGAGAACCTAGTTGAATCAGTACACCCAATACCAAAAAAAGTGTTAAAGAATCAAGAGATTCTAACATTGTTGTAAAGGCCACTGCAAGGTCACCAGAGAAACCCAGAAACAGTGTAAATAGAACAGACAACCACATCTTCACAAAAGAGAGGTAATAAATCGCTTGATAGGATTTTACTAAGAACTAAGGTTTCTATGTTTATTCCAGAAGTTAGATGTCTATTAATATTTACTTTAAAGGTCTACAATAAAGCTGGTGATAGGAAAGCAAAAGATGTCAGAAGAGGGGTTATACAAGTTAAAAGATTTGTTTAAAGATTTAAGTATTAGAGAGAAAGCAAACTATTTAAAAAGATGTTGGGAAGGCAGGCATAAATGAAATGATAAGTAAATTGGCTAAGACTCTGGACATTTTTTAATCCTATTATTTGCAAGGACAAAAGGTGTGAGTGGCGAAATCAGGAGGATGGAGGGAGGGTGAGGGAGAAAGGGGGAACAGATGACAAGGTTTACATATAACCTCCTCCCTGGAGGATGGACAGTGGAGAACTGGGCGAGGGAGACGTCGGATGATGTAAGATATGATAAAATAATAATTATTTATAAATTATTAAGGGTTCAGGGGGAGGGGGGAGCAAGGTGAGAGGGGGAAAATGAGGAGCTGATACCAAGGGCTCAGGTAGAAAGCAGGTGTTTTGAGGATGATGATGTCAACATATGTACGAATGTGCTGGACACAAATGATGTATGTATGGATTGTGAAAAGAGTTGTATGAGCCAAAAAGGTGACACCAAATTATATGGACAACATGAAGTAATGAAGACGTATAAAGATGGCTACTTACAAAAGCAGGTAAAAAGGTATCAGAAAATATAAACATTTATAAAATCAGCAGACCAAGATGGCATGCATACTAAGGTGTTAAGGAAACTAGCTAATGTACTTACTGAGCCACTTACAATTATTTTTTAAAAACCTTGGAGGACTGAGGAGAGATCAGAAAACTTTAAAAAGGCAAATACCAATTTTCAAAACATGGTAGGAAGTGAATGCCTTGTAAATACCTTTGTTAAATGACAATAAATTCTCAGTAAGAATTTAGAATATTTTGAAAAAACATCCATATTTCTAGGGGCCAGCAAAATGAAAATGTTGAGGAATGTTATAAAAATCATGCCAAATATTACTGCATTTGACCCTAAATCTCACTGGATGCTCTATGCCATGTTCCTAAGCTTTTGGCTTGAATTGTAAACATAATCACATGGATTAAAGCTTTCTACGAATGGGTTGTTATCATCATGGGTACTTCTGCTAAGCTGTCATCAGAAGGCATGGAGGGTGCACCCTAAATTATTTACTGTTGATCTAGGAAAAAAGTAAATAGTAAACTCTCAAAATCTGCAGTTGATTCTTTACTACTGTTAATACTAGGCAAAACAGAAAAGCAATAAGAATACAGATTTGAAGCAACTGAAAATGTAGACTCCAGAAATAAAACTTGGAAAATATTAAATAAAGGTATTAAATAAATGTAAAAACATCACTTAATGGAAAAGATTGAGAACAATAACTGAAGATGAAAGATTAAAAAATAATCAATATAAGATTAGTTATTTTTTAATCCATCATTGCCCCAGATGTAAAAGTAATAATAACTAAAAGCATTCTGGTAAGACCACACAGAAAGTGGTCATGAAAGCATTGGTTATAGTATTGAAAGGTGCAATCGCAGCAGAAGGAACTGCAAAAAGATAAATGAGGGGTTATTTTGAAAGAAAATTAATTCTGTAAAACATGAATTGTTTCATTAAAAAAAAGGGTGATATTTAAACCTTTCCACATGAAAATATAACACTGTGAAATGGGAAGACATGGAAATCTGAAATGGTTACATACAATATGTGTATGAAACATCAAATAGTAGACAGTAGCAAGGCAGTGTATTCTATCATGCTTAGTTCTAATATGTACTTTTGTGTACTACTGGGTTTCCTACATAAACACCTAAATGACAAAGAAATCTTTCTACCTAATCTGACCATATTCTTTCTATTAGAGTCTGGGGGTTTTGTAACTCATTATGCGTTCAACTACTGTCTGCAAGGTTGGAAGTCTGAACTCACCCAGTGCCAAAAAAAAAGAGAGGCCTGACTGTCTGATTACAAAAGGTCCCAGCCCCAGTGGTGTGAGTGGCAAAACAGGGAGGGTAAAGGGAGAATGGGTAGGAAAGAGGGAACCGATTACATGGAACTGTGTGTGACCTCCTCCCTGGGGGACAGACAACCGAAAAGTAGATGAAGGGAGACGTCGGACAGGGCAAGATATGACAAAATACCCATTTATAAACTATCAAGGGCTCATGCGGGAGGGGGGTGTGGGGAGGGTGGGGAAAAATGAGGGCCTAATGTCGGGGGTTTAAATGAAGAGAAAATGTTTTGAGAAACGATGTACAAATGCGCTTTACACAATTGATGTCTGTATGGATTGGGATAACAGTTGTATGAGCCCCTAATAAAATGTTAAAAAAAAAATTACAAATAAAAAGCTAGCTATTATCACTGTCAAAAAAAAAAAAAAAAAAAAATTTTTTTACAAAAAAAAAAAAAAAAAAAAAAAAGGTCCCAGCCTTGAAAACCCTACTCTGTCAGCATGGGTCACCAGAGTCAAATGGACTCAATGGCAACTTCTATTTTTATTATAACTGGGGCTGACCAAACTCCTCACGGACAAAAACCACTTATGAAGATTAAATGAATCAGATAACTGCTACCTGTGACAGACAAAACAATAGGAGGTTGAATTATCTAGCTAGCAATGAATTCTTATACACATTCTCTGTGGCCAGGAAGTAATATAGTACATACATTTGGGAGAGTAAAATTATGAAGTGTTAGCTGCACTATGGGCCTTTCAAATGAGACTAACAATAAGTATCAACAATAGATCCTACTTTGGGAAGGTTCATGGGTGTCCTCAGTCGAGTACGAATACTCTTCATTAATATACGCTGCTCTGTTGGCAGCAAGTGATACTTCATAGCTTCAATAAGGTAATCTTTACAAGCACTGCTATTTTTGACCAAGGCTTCCTCTTCAACCCTCTGAAAGAAATGAGAAATGCCACATAAGGAAACTACTATTTCATAGTAAAACTGAAAATAAAACAGCAGCAAAGAAGAGGGAAAAAAATCCAACAATCATTATTCTCTCTCATTCAGCATGGGAGTAACACGTATATATAAAAAAAACTCATTCATTTGACCTGTAGAAAAACAGACAAGTAATTAAGAGGACTGCAGTGAAAAATTACTGTGTTAGTCTGGGTAGAACAGAGAAACAAAATTCACAGACACTCATATTTTATTTATTGATTAACTATTTTTATTTTTTTAGTAGAATCTTTTTTTATTCAGAAGAAAAGCCACAAAAAACAAAGTTTTCCAACCACACACAGGAGGAGGGATGGGTAGGGGGAATTATCTGACCATCCAGCCCCAACCTCCACCCCATATGGCTTTGGCAACAATAAGGGGTGTGGGGTAATGGCCCACAAAATAAAAAATGATGTGTGTGTGTGTGTATGGGAAGGGGGAGGGTTGCAAAAGCAGTGGGAAGTGGTGGGGGGAAGGGGCACACAAGGTCAGTACTGGGAACGCCACAGGTGGTAAGCCATTTCATAACATTTCTTGTTGATCAAACCACCGTGGACACCTTCTTTGCCCATCAGTGTCTTGGTGACAGTGAGGATGAAGGTGGGGTCTCCGCCAGTACTCTTGGTGAGAAGATCCATGGTGTGTTCCCCGTCCAGCAGCAGTGAGTCCCGGATCACAGAACATTTCTGGCCCCCAAGTGCCAACCCATTCATGAAAAAACTTGACATGGTTTGCCAACAAGAACTCCAATCTCGGCTGGGGCACTGTTGATGAAGGTTTTCCCGCGGACAGTGGCCCAGACAGGCGCTGGGCTTATAGCCCATGATGGCTGCGGCCTGACAGGTCCCATCCGCCAAGAGGTTGTCGTTGTAGGCGTTCTACCAGGCCAGGGCATTGCTACAGGGGCAGCTTCTCAGTGCTTCTGCTGGGGCCAAGGGCTGAGCTTGGGCTACCTCGGGCTGGTGGGTGGGTGGGTGGAGTGGAGAGCTTGAGGAACCGCTGCTGTCCGGACCACGGCTCTGCTAGCTGTGCAGCAGCATCCCTCACACTTCGACACTCATATTTTGTAAGAGAGAGTTTTATATATAGGGTAAGTATACATTAAGAAAGCATCCCAATTCAGTGCTGTCTAAGTCCATAAGTCCAACATTAGCCCTTATGTCCAGCACTAATCCACAAAATCCTCCTCAGTCTCACAATACACACACACACACACACACACACACACACACACGACACCGAATACAGGAGGAAAGTCAATTCAGTGAGCGTGTAAGCATCTCGGGCTGGCAAGCATCTCCACATAGCTTCTCCAGCACCCAGGGCTGCATCAGGGTAGGTCCATGTGGCTTCTACTCAAGGAAGTCTCGCAGGAAGTGAGCCTTGCCAGCTGAAGCAGAGGACTAGTTAAGACAGCTGCACACTGGTCTGACCATCAGAGAGCAACAGACCAGACAGGTGAGGCTTGGTGAGCCATTTGTCTTTCTGCCCTTCAATTAATCCCACATGTGCTCATCAGCCAGGGTGGCACAATAAACCTTACCTATCACAATTATGTACTTCAAGGTCAACTTTGTTATGATCAATGTGAGGATGCTATATTTATCAATTAGCTATAGACACTAACAAGTAGAAAAGCAGAAGAATAAAATGTAAACAGAGAGTCGTTCTGGTGGCATAGAGAATAACTCAGTCACTGCTGAGTTGGTTCTAACTTATGGAAATTCTATGTCAGAGTAGAACTATGATCTGTAAAGTTTTTGATGACTGACACTGTCAAACTTTTCTTTTGAGATTCCTCTGGGGGTATTTGAACTACCAACCTTTCAGTTCAAGTTCAGTCAAGAACATTAACTATTTATAATACCCAGGGCCTCCTATTAAAGATACTTTTAAAAAACACAGGTAGGCACTTACAAATCCAGAGGAGGTACACTGGTACAGATAGGAACTGGAAACACAGGGAATCCAGGGCAGATGAACCCCTCAGGACCAGTGGTGAAAGTGGCGATACCGGGAGGGTGGCGGGAAGATGGGGTAGAGAAAGGAGGAACCGATTACAAGGATCTACATATAACCTCCTCTCTGGGGGATGGACAACAGAAAAGTGGGTGAAGGAAGACGGACAGTGTAAGACATGATACAATAATAAAATAATTTATAAATTATCAAGGGTTCATGGGGGGAGGGGAAAAATGAAGAGCTGATACTAAGGGCTCAAGTAGAAAGAAAATGTTTTGAGAATGATGATGGTAACAAATGTACAAATGTGCTTGACACAATGGATGTATGTATGGATTGTGATAAGAGTTGTCTGAACCCCCAATAAAATGATGTTTTTTTAAAAAGGGCAAATCCAAAAGTATAATAAAACAAACAAAGAAACACACAGGTAGGCTAACAAAACATCCAAGGGAAAGATTCAAAACATTTAAAAATAATGTTCCTATACTACAAATACATTTTCCATATTTCTGGATTGCATTGAGTAAACTTGAGTCTGACTTGAACTGACACAATAGCTGTAACAATGAGCTTAAGCACAGAAATGTTTCTGAGAAGAGTATAGCATTGGGCAATGTTTCATTCTTGTACACTGGTTGCTAGGTGTCTCAATAGACTTGATGGCATTCAATAACATTAAAAATCAGTATTAGTCTTTCAACACTGCTGATGACAGCAGGTGCTACTGAACTGCTTCCAACTTACAGTGTACAACAGAGTGAAACAGTAGCTGACCCTGTGCCTATTTCACAATCATTGCTGTGTTTGTGCCCACTATTGAATCAGCTGTGTCAGTTATTTCACTGAAGGATTTCCTGAACCTCTACCATGCATGAAGTCTGTCCTTCAGGGACTAGCTTCTCCTGATTACAGGGCTAAAATACCTGAAGTGAAATCTTGCCACTTCATTTCTAGGAGCATGCTGGCGTTCTTACTCCAAGATTGATTTGTTTATTCCAATTCTTCTCCTCTCTCCTTTGATTGTCCTGCTTTTGCATACATTTGAGGTGATTGAAAATATCATGGCTTAGGTGAGAAGGACCTTAGTCTTTGAAAATGACAGCGTTGCTTTGCAACACATTTGAGATGGTCTTGTGGAATATGTCATTTGTCCAATAAAATATGCCATTTCTTCACGGCTATTTCAATGGGCTCTGTGAATCTAAGTAAAATGAAAACCTTGACAACGCCAATCATTCAACACTTGCAGTGATGCTTATTTGTTTAATTGTGAGAATTTGTTTTATGTTGAGGTGCAATCCATGTGGAAAGCTAAAATAAATAGTGCTTCAAGTGACCTTTGCCTTCAGTGAGTTTGTGCTATCTGCATATTCAAGTGATTAATGAGTATTTCTCCAACTCTAATCCGACCTTTTTCACATAAGCCAAAACCCAACATTAAAAAAAAATGAGGAGCTGATACCAAGGGCACAGGTAGAAAGCAAATGTTTTGAGGATGGTGGCAACAAATGTACAAATGTTCTTGATACAGTGGATGTATGTATGGATTATGATGAGTTGTACGAGCCCCCAATAAAATGATTAAAAAACAACAACCAACATTATGTGCTCAGCACAAAGACTGATTAAGTATGGTAAAAGGATACCACACTGAGTCAAACTTCACTGATTTTAAACTGCTCCCACCCATCCACCACTCCCAATGGGTCAATTTTGATTCAGAGCGACCTCTTACACCTGAGCAAAATTGCTCCCTAGGGCTATTGGTCTTTATGTAAGCAGACAGCCTCAGCTTTCTCTCCAGGAGTGACTGGTGGTCACTCTAGACCAGTGGTTCTCAACCTTCCTTATGCCATGACCCTTTCATGCAGTTCCTCATGTTGTGGTTACCCCCCAACCATAAAATTATTGTAGTTGCTACTTCATCACTGTAATTTTGCTACTATTATGAATCGTCCCCAAAGGGATGGCAAGCCACAGGTTGAGAACCGCTGCCCTAGCCCTGGTGGCCAGCAGCCAAATGCTGTTAACCATTGCACCACCAGGGCTCCTCTAAACTGTGAGAGAGCACCTTGTTCTGCTGGGACGGCTGCTTCTTGGTCTCTATATAGGTGTCACATGTGCACACTTATGTATTCTGGAACTTCCATGTTCATGTTACCTGCAATTTGTAATGATTCACACAGTTGAATAACTTTGAATGGTTAAGAAAATGCCGTTAATATCCTTCTGATATGCTCTGCTTTCAACCAAGAGCCATCTGATATCTGCAATGATATCCCTTTCTCCACATCCTCTTCTGAATCTGGCTTGAAACGGTTTTTGGATTTTCTTCAGCAAAACTTTGGGGGCATAAAGAATATTGTTCCACAATTCCCACATTCTGCTGGGTCACCGTTTTTTTAAAATGGGTACACTGAAGGATTCTTGCAGTTGGTTGGACTGGCTGTGGTCTTCAATATTTTTTGGCCTAGATAAATAAGTGGTTCCAGCACGACATCTATTTGTTAAAAAATATCAACTGGTGTTCTGTGAAGTCCCGGGGGACTGTTTTTGCTTATGCCTTTAGTGCAGATTGAACTTCTTCCTTAAATGCTATCAGTACTACTTGATTTTATGCTTGATCATATGCTACCTCCTGAAATCATATTCTTTTTGGTACATTCTTTTTATCTCCTTGCCAAACCTGACTTGAAAGGCAAATTTTTAAAAAAAAGTTTTTAAAAGCAGAGGACCAATCAGTATACAGATCAGAACAAATAGTGGGGTTTCAAATAACTTAATATTCCCAGTTCTATTCTCTTAATACAGAAGTGTCCTTAGTTTCAGTTATAAAAATACTGAAATGTTCCAAATAGGTTGCTAATATTAAAAAAAAAGTACATTAAAAAGTTTCAAGTTTCAAAAGACTTTTCGAAATTTTTGATATTCTAAAGTAAAACTGAACAATAGTTCGGTCAAATCTCTCAATTCCAATTCTGCAAGAAAGTCGAGAGAGGCTCTTTGGTCTGCCTGGTAGGCTACACAGTGGTTGCTAACTGCAAGGCCAGTGGTTCAAACCGACCAGTTGTTTGTTCCAAGGGAAAAAGTTGAGGCCATCTGTTCCTGTAAAGATTTAAGGGTCATAGAACAAAATCATACCCAATGTGAATTGGGGGGGGGGGGCGTGGAGTGGAGACCCAAAGCCCATCTGTAGACAACTGGACATCCTCTCACAGAGGGGTCACAAGGAAGAGATGAGCCAATCAGGGAGCAGTATAGCACTAATGAAACACACAACTTTCCTCTAGTTCTTTGGTGCTTCCTTCCCCCCACTATCATGACCTCAATTCTACCTTACAAATTGCATTAGACCAGAACATGCACACTGCTACAGATAAGAGCCTGCAACACAGGGAATCCAGGATAGATAAACCCCTCAGGGCCAACAAGGAGAGTAGAGAGACCAGGAGGATTAGGGGAGAGTGGGGGAAGAAAGGGGAAATCGATCACCAGGATCAACCTATAGCCCCTTCCCAAGGGAATGGACAATGGAAAAGTGGGTGAGGGGTGATGGAGGATGACGTAAGATATGAAAATAACAATCTATAACTTATCAAGGGTTCGTGAGGGAGGGCGGTCGGGGGAGGCAGGGGAAGAAATGGGTAGCTGATATCAGGGGCTCAAGTGGGAAGAGAATGCTTTTAAAATGATAATGGCAGCATATGTGCAAATGTACTTGGTCCAATGGATGAATGTATGTATTGCGATAAGAGATGTAAGAACCCCCAATAAAAGTATTTAATAAAAAAAGAAAAAGATTTAAGGATCAACAGAGTCAGGATTGAGTCAATGGCAATGAGTTTGGGGTTTTTTGTTTTAAATTAAAGAGAAAATGTAGCAGTGATGCATCTATTTATTATGCATTATTTATGTATTTTTTGTATAGTTGAATCATCACAGCAGTTCCTCCGTGACACACATTGTGAAGCACTTGACTACTATCCCAAAGGGTCCCAAACTGAATACAACCAGAGGCCCCTTGACAACGGGTCTAACAACCTACCTCCAAAAGAGCACAATCATGGGAAACATTATGAAGCGCTGTTTTGCTCTGAGACACATGTGGAAGACTGACTGCATGAGTCAGAACTGACTGGATAAGTTCTACTCCTTGCTCAGCCATGTCAGATATAGAGACTGCAAGCAAATTTTAACAATGGTGAGTGCCTTCAGAGGGGAGCAGATGGGAGAGAATACAGGGGCCTTTACTGCCCTTAATCTTACACCCCCTTGGCTCTGCATTCTGTAGCTCTTATCACTGTGGAAAAGTTTCATGATTCAATGCTAGCTATGCATACTCATATGTTTTTGTATTGTTTGTATAAACTTACCTGAACTAAATATTCCCGAGGAAGCAAAGGTAACCGTACATGTTCCATCAGTCGAGCCATAAACTCTTGCCTTATGTCCTTGTCATGGTTCACCCAAGCAATTACTGCTTCAAATACCTTCTCAAAAATATGGGGAAAAGGAAAATAAGTTAACAAGTTACGTAGCAAGGCATCTAGATAAACGATGAGACTATTTTTTACTCTGCAACTAAGACATTTCACATTTAATCTGTGATCCAATTTGTTTCAAGTGACTTATAGAGATGTTTACAAAATCCAATGTAACAGTTACATAATCTGTCAAATTGCGAGGGGATGAAGTTTTGCCTGTCAGTTAGGTCACAGCCAATGAGGCTTCTGTGTGGGCATGGCCTTCTTTTGAGCATTCCTGGGCCTCCTGTCTTCCTCCCTGGAGGTGGGACACACTCTTTCCCTGCGAGACATTCTTGTTGACAAGCTACATGGAGTTACGCTGATGGCAGCCAGAGACTTGGAGCTGGAGAAGCAACATGAAGACCCACCCCAGTGCTGAGATACTTCCACCACTACTGGATCCATAGGACTTTCCACCCACTGGCCTATGATCTTCCTGTGCTCAGTGTTATTGCACGTGCTGCATCGGTCTGAAGAGGAATTTACAGACTGGTATCGGACATATGAGCTAATATCGGACTTATGGACTTGATCTGGACTGAGATGTTTTCTTAATATACAATTGTTTTTTTATTTAAAGCGCTTTCTAATACACATGTCTCCCTGGATTTGTTTCTCTAATCAACCCAGACTAACACACCCAATTTAGTTTTTACTAAGTATCCAAAATAAGAAATCAAACCCACTGCCACTGAGTCAAAGTCCAACTCACAGTGCTACTTCTAAAGGTCTTCTGGGGCTATAAATCTTTACTAGTGGAGATATGATAGCTTCATCTTCTCTCACGGATCAGCTCATGAGTTTGGACCACTGGCCTTGAAGTTAGACGTCCATAGCTTCCATAGCAGAGCTACCAGGGTCCTTTGAATAAACCTATTTGTTATTTAATAAGCACTTATCAATTACAAGAGGAGCCCTGGTGGAATAGCAATTACACATTGGGCTGATAGCTGCAAGGTCAACAGTTTGAAACCATAACCAGCTCCTTGGGAGACAGATGAGGTGTTCTACTCCTGTAAAGTTAGTTTCAGAAACGTACAGCAGGGGCAGTTCTACTCTGTTCGATAGGGTGGCTATGAGTTGGCATTGACTTGATAGCAATGAGTCTGGTTTCTTTTGGCACCAAGAGCATGTAACCCTGGCGGTATAGTGGTTACCTGCTGGACTACTAACCTGGAAGTTAGCAGGTTGAAACCACCAGTCACTCCTCAGGAGAAAAGACAAGGGTTTCTACTTCTGTAAAGAGTTATAGTCTTGCTATGAGTCAAAATCTATTTCATGGCAGTAAATTTGGGTTTTAGCTTTACCAAATAAATGACCTAATCTTGAACTTGAATGTCAGTTATGATAATATGATGCTATTTGATCTGTTTCATGCTCATGCCTTTTAAAGTCTACATAGTTCTACTTATCTAGATATTAAAAATTTTATTACTGTGATTTGGGTGCAAGTTCACAAAGCAAATTAGTTTTCCATTCAACAAATCATACATTAAGATTCCTGACATTGGTCTTAAAGGCTTGAAGGTAAACAAGTGGCCATCTAGCTGAGAAGCAACAAAGCCCACATAGAAGAAGCACACCAGTCTGTGTGACCATGAGGTGTCGAAGGGATCTAAGATCCAGAACAAAATCATACCCAATGTGAATTGGGGGGGAGGGGGCGTGGAGTGGAGACCCAAAGCCCATCTGTAGACAATTGGACATCCCCCCACAGAAGGGTCACAAGGAAGAGATGAGCCAGCCAGGGTGCAGTATAGCACCAATGAAACACAACTTTCCTCTAGTTCTTTGGTGCTTCCTTCCCCCCACTATCATGACCTCAATTCTGCCTTACAAATTGGATTAGACCAGAACATGCACACTGCTACAAATAAGAGGGACACAGGGAATCCAAGATAGATAAACCCCTCAGAGCCAACAAGGAGAGTAGAGAGACCAGGAGGATTAGGGGAGGGTGGGGGAAGAAAGGGGTAGTCGATCACAAGGATCACAGGGTGACAAACAGGAAAGTGGGTGAAGGCAACAGATGACGATGTGAGATATGAAAATAATAATCTTTAACTTATCAACGGTTCATGAGGGAGGGTAAACGGGAAGTAGGGGGGAAAATGAGGAGCTGATATCAACGGCTCAAGTAGAAAGAAAATGCTTTGAAACTGTTGATGGCAGCATATATACAAATGTGCTTGACACAATGGATGAATGTATGGATTGTGATGGGAGATGTTAAGAGCCTCCAATAAAAGCATTTAATAAAATTTTTTTAAAAAGATTCCTGACACTGAAATGCCCACAATGTAGCAATACTAAGCCCACTTCCTCTCCCTGTTTACCATATTTCCTTTGGACATTTTTTGCTATCCCCTTTCTACCGCTGGGCAAATGTTGTCCTTTTGATCTGTTCTGGCTAATTGTTCTTAAGTGTTCTTAAGTACAAGCCTCAGGGATATTACTGTATACCTTATAAGTTTAACTAGCATTTGGCTGAAACTGAGCCAAAAGGGTGAATTCAGTTCCAGGGAAGAAAGGTCTCAGGGATTCTACTGGTTCAAGCATACTAGTAATCCTGATCCTTTTTTCAATGAGCTTGAGTTTTGTTCCTTGATTTTTCTGTCACTCCATTTAGGGTGTCCTCCTTGTTCTTTTCAAATCTGTCAGCAGTGCCAGTGGGCACTCTCTAGTCCTCCCAGTCTCAGGGTTATGGAAGCTAAGATTCTGGTAGTCAATTAGTCTTCTGGAGTAATAGTTTCCATTATGTCTTTGATTTTCTACACTCCTCATTGTTTTGAAGAGGAGAGATCAATTTTTGCATCTTAGATTGCTGTTCACCAACTTTAAGGGTCTAAGTCACACACACCAAAGTAGAACACTGTCTTTGTGGCCTACGCCAGCTATGCCACTTGTTGTTCTCTGAGACTATGGACATGAGTCCCAGGTCCCGTGACCCTCATGGTGTTCGGTGATGGCTAAGACATTTTCATAGCTTTGCCCCTGTATTTTCTACTATATTCATGAATTTATTTGCAGCACATACAAATATATATAAATTATCATCTCTCAATCATATATATATATGATATATTGATGTATCGTTTATGATATATATTGTATATATAGAATCATCATGCAATGTATATTTCTGGTACAGTCAGCCTTCATTGATCATGAGTCATAAATCATCAGATGCCTGGAGGCACTTCAATCACTGGGGAAAGTCCAAGATTTTAGAGGTCCTCTGTCAGGAACCAAGGACAAAGACCAAATTCTTTTGGTAAAGTTGGTTCAAAACCATCTTATTTGATACCACTTTCCTATTTTTTAAACACCAATCATACTGGTCCAATGTTTATTTTAAACTCAACATCAAACTCACTGCCATGGAATCAATGCTGACTCATAGCGACCCCCTGTGGAATTCCGAGACTGTAACTGTTTACAAGAGTAGAAAGCGCAGTGTTTCTCATATGGGGCTAATGGTGGTTTCAAACTGCTGACCATGTGGATCACAGCCTAACATAGAGCTCCTTTGTTGCTAGGTGGCATAAAGTCTGCTCTAACCCATAGCGATCCTACGCTCAACTAAAGGAAACATTGCCTGGGTCAATGCCACCCTCACAAAAGCTGATATGCCTGAGACCATTGTTGCAGCTACTGTGTCAATCCATCTCATTGATGGTCACCATCTTTTTTGCTGCCCTCTACTTTACCATGCATGATGTCTTTCACCAGGGACTGGTTTCTCCTGGTTCAATAAGATGCAATTATTCTTTCATCTCTTTATAATCTATTCGCTCTTTTTGGAATGACTTTCCAATTTCCTTCCTTCCAATCTCTCTGGTAAACTCCTATTTACTTTTAAAGACAGACTACACATCTGACTCTAGCTAAATTTCTTTCCCTATCTCAAGAATAATGAAATATTAACTCCTCTGTGCTTACAGAATGCCCATTATGATATCCTGTAATCATTTATTGCCCCCTTCCACCAGCTACCCCTCCAGTTTATGAGTTAAAAATGAATTTCAGTAATCTTTTTACATTTTGGGCCCATGAAAGTGTCTAGTACATGTTGTTGTTAAGTGCCACCAAACTGATTCCAAGCCACAGAGGGAAACACTACACAGCCCTGCACCATCTTCACAATTGTTACTATGTTTGAGCTCACTGTTGTAGCCACTATGTCAATCCATCTTTCTGAAGGCCTTCCTCTTTTTTGCTACCCCTCCATTTTACCGAGCATTATGTCCTCCAGGGACCGATCATTTCTGCACACGTTCTCTTATGTAAGACGAAGTGTTGTCATCTTTGCATCTGAGGAGCACTCTGTCCATTAATTCTTCCAAAACAGATCAGTACGTCCTTTTAACAGTTCATGGTGCTTTCAATATTCTTTCTCCAGCACCACAATTCAAATGCATCAATGCTTCTTCAGTCTTCCTTATTCAATGCCCAACTTTCACATGCATATGAGGAAACTGAAAATACCATGGCCTAGGTCAGCCACAGCTTATCCCTTAAAGTAACATCCTTTCTTTTGAACACTCTAAAGAGGTTCTGTACAGCAGATTTGCTTGATGCAATGTGTCTAGTACATGATTGGCACTAAATATATTTACTAAATCTTAAAATAATGTCTTCCTCCTCTATTCTAAAGTGCTAAGATTATACATCTTATCATTCCTTTTCTTTTTTTAAAAAATTTTAACAAATAATTTTATGGGGGGCTCTTACAGCTCTTAGAACAATCCATACATCAATTGTATCAAGCACATTTGTACATGTTTCCATTATCATTTCCTGATTTCCAAAACATTTTCTTTCCACTTGAGCCCTTGGTATCAGCTCCTCTTTTTCCCTCTTCCTTCCCCACCCTCCCATCCTCGTGAACCCTTAATAATTTATAAATTATTTTAATTTTCTTACTTTGTACTCTCCACTGTCTCCCTTCACCCACTTTTCTGTTGTTTATACTCTGAGTTGGGGGGTTGTACATCAATCATTGCGATCAGTTCCCTCTTTTGTCCCCTTCTCCCTCTACCTTCTCCCTACCTTCATGGTATCGCTACTCTATTAGTCCTGAAGGGTTTCTGGCCTGGATTCTCTGTGTTGAGATCTTATCTTTTCCAGGAAACATGCTCTGGTCTAGACAGATTTGTAAAGTAGAACTGGGGTCATGATATTGGGGGGGAGGCATTAAAGAACTAGAGGAATGTTGTGTGTTTCGTTGGTGCTAAACTGCACTCTGGCTGGCTCATCCCTTCCTTGTGTCCCTTCTATGAGGGATGTCCAATTGTCAGCAGATTGGATTTCCCCTTTTTATAACAATTTTACTGACATACAATTCAATAATTCATTCATATTAAAACGAGTAGTACAATCATCACCACAATCAATTTTAGAACATTTCATTCTTTCTTGTACCCATTAGCTCCCCTGTCACACTCTTCCAATCTCCCCTGTCATACCGCTAAGAAACCATTAATCCAGATTCTGTCTCTATAAATTTAACTGTCCTAAATTTCATATAGCAATTCATTTTCATATATTTTCTCATACTGCAAATATTAGAGTAAATGTATCATTTTACCCTCAAGTGAATGACTATCCTTGAGGATCTGAATCAGGTTGTATACACCTTTAAACAGAAAGCACAGAAAATAGAAACTCAAGTTTCATTTCATCTAAAGCAGTGTTTCACAAGATTTATTGCCCTCATTTTCATGAAATACAAAATTTAACCAACGAAACAAAAAACAGCATAGAAAAGCTTCCTTTCCAACTTTATGAAAAGTGCACTTGGCCGACCAAGACAACCCAAAATATGGAGAAAAAAACCATAAGCAGATGAAGCAGCAGCAGCATTTGCTGGAAAGAAGGAAGCCCTAGGGGAGGGGGTCTAAGTAGTAGGAAATCAATCTAATGGAAGATGATAATGAAGTCTGAAATGAAGTCTGAAATTAGTCAAACATAGCCACCCTAGGAATCTTCCTACTCACAACAAAGGCTACTTTGGTTTGATAACTATTACACCAGGATTAGAATTCTTACAGGCATCTTGCTATGGGAAAAAACCTATTTCACAAAGGCAACAGTTTCAGACAGTTTAATGGGTATAAGCTCTTGCTGACTAGAAAAGTGCAAAGCTCTAATGATAACAATTTAGGGGCAACATTCTTCTGAGAAGTGAAGAAAGGGATTAATTTATATAGATAATCAACAAGTCAGCTAATTGAGCTTCTTAAAAACTCTAGATCAAAAATCATTACCCATTACCATTATATATATAGGATAATCAAGTTACAAAAATAAGTGAAATAAAAGGAGAATACTGTTACTGAATTCTGGACAAGGAAAATATACTTACTTTCTCTTCAGAGGAAATGGTAAGTTTGTCACTTGAGATTAAGCTGCATACTTGCTCAATGCCAAGGTTCAAAAACTCTTCACTCAATACAACATCAGCAAAATGTTGCTCTGTTTGAGGTTAAAAGAAAAATCGTTCAATGCTAACGTTTCATTACCAGAGTGTCAAACTGCTTTTTTTAAAAAGTCACACAATTTAAGTATGAGGAAAACAATACTACTTCCTCTAGACAAAATCTAACAACAGCAACAACAAAACACACTTGGGTATAAGCAAAGAAAGTGATTCTTACTTAAATAATCTGTCCACAGTATAGAAAAGTAGAAACACCGGTAGGAAGATTACCTTAAAATACACTTGCTGCCTAGAATTATTTCTGTTTTACATGGTGGTATCTTAGAGGTAAATATCAACTTCTTTACAGTAACATCACTTGGCTATCAGTTTGTCATACTGTGGTGGAATGTGTGTTGCTGTTATACTGGAAGCTATGCTACTGATTAAGATTTGCGCAATCACCACAATTTCATAATATTTTCTTCTTGTTCTCATTGCTATTCGCTTCCTTTCCCCCCATCTCCCCAGATACTGTCTCTACAGATCTACTTATCCTGAATTACATATAAGAAAAATTATACAAAATAGACACAGGAAATAAACAAACAAAACACAATGACTAAGCAACACACAGAAAAGCATCAATTAAAAGCGGAAAATATTAAAAACAAACAACTTTAAAAGTGTCAAGAGATATCGAATGATAAGGTATTACATTTTAACCTAACCACATCAACCATAATCAACTTTACAATGCTTTCTGTCTGATAGCAAAGATAATCATATCCCTGGGCGATGGTCAGCGGGGATTCACCAGACTTAATCCCTGAGGGGACCCTGCAAGTAGATTTTGGGATTTCATTGTCATTCATAGCCTTCTGCAAATCCTGTGTTCACAAAGTAACCTCAGACACCATTCCCTCCTTCAGATTTGGATTTTTATAATCCTTGAATCACACAGGCTGGTTTGCTTCTTCCATGTGGACTTAATTGACCCAGTTGAGGTGAGGTCTTCTCTGTTGAAGAGGTTTTTAAATGTACATATAAAGGGAGTGATAAATGGTTCATGGGTGCTGGGCAGGCTTTCTACCTTGTTGCTTGGGAGATTGGATTAGAAAATTATATGACCTGAGAAAAGCCTGCTTTTGTACCTTATAGCAGTGGACTCATTCAATATCAGCCCTTTTGTGACTGACTAACTTTACTCAGCATTATGGTTTCCAGGTCCCTCAATGACATAAAGCGTTGCATAGTATTCCACTGTGTCTATCTATTCTTTATCCATTCTTCTAATAATGAGCCTTTGGGAGGTTTCCAGCTTATTGCTGCAGTGAACATGAGAGAGCATACATCTGCTCTTTGGTATATAGCCAGAACAAAGGTATTACTGAGGTGTGTGGTATTTCTCTTCTCAGTTTTTCTAGGTAGTGTCATATCGATTTCCACAAAGGTTGTATATATTTACAAGCCCACTAGCAGGGGATTTTAGTTCCAATCTTTCTGCACCCTCTCTCCAGCATTTGTTTTTCTCTGTTTTTGTTTTTAATTGGGCTTTCATTGTAGGTGTAAGGTGATTATCTCATTGTTGTTTTGATTTGCATCTCTTGATGTTAGTGATCGTAAGCATTTCCTCATGTTTCTTGGCCATTTGAGTTTTGTCCCTTGTGAACTGTCTATTCATGTCCTGTGCCCACTTTATGTATGGATTGCTTTTCTTGAAGTGTTCTGTATATTTTAATAATTAGTCTCTTGTCCGTTGTCATTGCTAAAGCTATTTTCCCAATTTGTGGGTTCGCGTTTTATTCTTTTGATAAAGCTTTTGATGTACATAAGTATTTTATTTTTAGTAGGTCTCAGTCATCTATTTTGTCTTCCACTGTGTATGCTTCTTTTAATTGTATTTGGTAGTCTGAGTATGCCCTGTAACAGAGCGTCTGAGTTTGTCCCAATTTTTTCATTGATGATCCTTACAGTTCTGGGGTTTACATTTAGGTCTCCAATCCATCTTGAATTTGTTTTTGTGCATGGGGAAGTTATCAGCCCCATTTCATACTTCTGCAACTTTTTCCAGCCTTATTTGTTGAGGAGGATGTTCCTTTATGATTTATTGGGTTTTTTTGGTCTTTTGTAGGAAACCAGTTGCCTGTAGGTGAATGCTTTTATTTCTCTAGTTTCTATCCTGTTTCACGGGTCTATGTGTCAATCATTGCACCTGTACCAGCCTGTTTTGACCAGTGTGCCTGTGTAGCAGTTTTGAGATTGGGTAGTGCTAGGTCTCCTACTTTGCTTTTATTGAGAAGTTCTTTAGTTATCCTGGTCTTCTTCCCTCTCCACATGAAGTTGGTAATTAGATTTTCCATTTCTTTAAAGAACGAATTTGGGACTTACAGACTGTCTTGTTTGTAAAGTGTTTTCAGCAGTATTGACATTTTCAAAACATTAAATCTGCCTATCCATGAACATGGGATAGCCTTCCATTTATGTAGGTCTTTTGGTTTCATTTAATAATGTTCTATAGTTTTCTTTATACAGGTCTTTTGTTTATTTGGTTAGGTTAAGTTCTGGGTTCTTCATCTTTTGTGTGACCACTGTAAATGGTACTGTTTGCTTGATGTCATTTGCAGAGTTCTTTGCGGGCATATAAAAATTCCACTGATTCCTGCTTGTTAACCTTATATCCTGCCATTTTACCCAACCCCTCAATTGTTTCTAACAGAATTTTTGTAGAGTCTATATAAAATCATATTGTCTGCAGGGAGCTGCACTTCAATGCTTAATTGCATTCCCTTTATTTCTTTTGCTGTATAATAGTTTTGGTTAACCCTTCCAGCATGATATTGAATAAGAGTGGTGATGAGGGACCTCTGCCTCATTCCGTTTTCAGAAACTGAAATCCTTGACAATTTTAATATATTCTCCATTTATCATGATGTTACCTGTTAATCCAATTGTGAGACTTGGTTGTGGAAGTAGAAAGTCTCATCTTTCTCCCTCAGAGAAGTTGGTAACGTCAAACTACTGACCTTGCAGATAATAGCTCAATGCATAACCATGATACCACCAAGGCTCCTTGGTCTTATTAATGGACCATAGTTTAATATAAGAGGCTCTCAATGTGAAATAATAATATGAAATCATTTTCTAAAATTTCAATATGCTTTAGTAGATTATAAAAAGGAACTGTTAACTTTTAGCAACACCTGAAAAACAAAATCTGTATTTCTAGGAACTACAAAACCTCTTTGTTATTTTTCTAATATGTCACTTACTATAGGAACATTTTATGTAGCAGTTAATGGAGTTTGGGTTTAGAAAGAACATTTAAAGGTGCTTGCTGGTGCTGTGGCTTATACTGGGGTGCTAACTGCAAGGTTAGTAGTTCAAAGCCACTACTTACTCCCATTAAGTTTTATAATCTCAGAAATCCTATACAGGGTTGCTTTAAGTTGGACTCAACTTGATGACAGTCTTTGCTCCTTATTTTATATTTTCTATTTAACTGAAGAACAGAACTGGCTGCACAACAACACATCAATGAATTCAATTTTGTGATAATGATGTCTCCAAAAATGAACCAGAGACATATATAAACTATAGATATATGCATTGACTTTGGGCTTGCATTTGATTTTAGCATCAATCTAAGAACAGTTAGCTCTTATGACTTGGCTCTACTTGATAACAGCCCTCATGAAGAGATCACTGAAGATATGGGTGCTACAGGAAAGTCTGGTGAAGAAACCAGATAGATGGTGCCCGGCTATCAGAAAGAATAGCATTTGGGGTTTTCAAAGGCCTGTGATCCAAAGATTTTAAATAATAAAACCCGATCTGAAGGAGGGAATGGTATGAGAGCTTAAACTATAAATATATGATTTTCAGAAGGCTCTGGATGGTTGTGGAAGCCCAAAACTCACTTACAGGGTCTCCACATGGATTAGGTAAATCCCCTCCGACCATAGTCAAAGGATGGTAATAGTCTTGCAATCAGATGGTGAGGGCTATAAAGTTGATTATGGCAGATGTAGTTAGGTTAAAATGTAATATCTTATTTGATCTCTTTCGTCATATTTGAAAGTTGTTTCAGTTTAGTATCTGCTACTTTCTTTTTGATTGATGTTTGTTCCCTGTTTTGTTTTGTCATTGCTTGCTTGCTTCCTTGATTTTTTCTTGCTTCCCGTTTGTATTTTGGATGATTTTCTGTATATGAAATCCAGGATAGGGAAATCTGTAGAGGCAGTAATTGGACTAATAATTACCTAGGGGCATGGCAGGAGAGGTTGGGGGAAAATGGGGAGCTACCAACAAGTATGAGAAGAAAATGTTCTGTAATTGATTATAATGATAATTATACAGCTTTTACTATAATTGAAAGATCAAATTGAATAATAAGTGAAATATATGTCCATAAAACTACATATAACCCCCTCCCTGAGGGACGGACAACAGAAAAGTGGGTGAAGGGAGATGATGGACAGTGTAAGATATGACAAAATAATAATAATTTATAAATTATCAAGGGTTCATGAGGGAGGTGGGGTGGGGAGAGGGGGGGTGATGAAGAGCTGATACTGAGGGCTCAAGTAGAAAGCAAATGTTTTGAGAATGATGATGGCAACAAATGTACAAATGTGCTTGACACAATGGATGGATAGATGGATTGTGATGAGGTGTATGAGCCCCCAATAAAATGATTTTTTAAAAATTAATTCAAGTCACAAAGAAGGGATGATTCAACCAAGGTGCAGTATAGCACTAACGAAACACACAACATTTCCTCTAGTTCCTGAAGGCTTCCTCCACTTCACTATCATGACCCAGTTCTACTTTACAAATCTGGCTGGACCAGAGTATGCACATTGGTACAAATTAGAGCTTTCAACATATGGAATGCAGGGCAGATAAAACCCTCAGGAACAGTAGCAGGAGTAGCCATACCATTAAAGTAGGGGGAGGGTTGGGGAAGGGGGAAGAGGAAGAAAGGGGAACCAATGACAAGGTTGGATATATAGGCCCCTCCTCCCACCCCAAGGGGGACAAATAACAGAAACGTGGGTGAAGGGAGACAATGGATGGTGTAAGATACAAAATAACAATAATAATATATAATTGATCAAGGATTCATGATGGTGGGAGAAGGGAAAAAGGAGGAACTTATACCAAGGGCTCAAGTAGAAAGAAAATGTTTTGGAAATGATGATGGCAACATATATACAAGTGTGCTTAATACAATTATAGATTTTTAAGAGTTCCTCAATAAAAATGATGAATAAATAATGAATTCAATTTTGTCTGATTATTCTTAAAATTTCTCACTCCACTGAAAAGTTACAAGAATATTACATATTACAGGTACCCCTATTACATTTATAGGTAATCCCCAATTTATAAATACATTCAAACAATTCATCCCAAATTAGGTTTCTGGAACTCAAATCATTTTTCCCTCTAAACAATTTTATAAAGGCCATCAAGCCACCCCACAGCTATCTAGAAAATTAAAATATACTAGACTGCCACATTCTATGAAAATACTCCCCCCACCCCCCAACAAACATATGGACCTGTCCACCTTGTACAATTATTTCGTTGACAAAATTAACAGTGAGTCTAGGAATATTTCTCCTGCTACGTGCTCTGCCAGAAATCTATTCTACTTGCCTGCATAGGTATTCGCCTTGTTTAGGAGTTCTGTGCATGCATGCATATCAGCGAAAGCCCGGATTCCTAAGCAGTTGACAGGATGAAGCTGGGACTCCAAAAATTCACAGCAAGTCTTCTTCACATCCTGTAACTGTAACAGACCAGCTGCTGGGAGAAGTACCTGCAACACACAAGTAAATGTGGTTATGCAACAAGATATTTACTGCTTCCACAGTAAGACACAACCAGTCCAGCTTCAAGTTATAACCTGTAACCCACTCCAAACATCCCACAGAAAACAAATGTAAAGATTATTTTCAAAAATACTGATGACACCTCTCACTTGCAGTTAATTTCCATGGAATCTTTCAATGGTCTCTTCTCAATCACAATTCTATAAAAGCTACTGGGTCATATTACATTAAATGACCTTTTTATAAGCATTAACAAAATGCTCCACTGAATTTTAAAAAGACGAACCAAGAGGATGCTAGAGGGTGCTGTGGACCACTGAAAATGGCTGTTTCCTTTGTTCTAACCACCACGTGCTTCCACGATTTGTGAGAACGCTCTGAACTCAGGGTAATACAGACCACAAAGCCTCATTTTGCTGAAAGCCTACTGGTACTCTAACATCTGAATAATAAGACGTTTGCTCTCTTTAAGGGGAAAATGATTTTAAATTTAACAGTGTCTACCAGAGAGTTTCTTGAAAGCATAATATATGTGCTTAAAAGGAATACATAAAATCTAATTGCTTAATAATCACTTATTGATTTCCATTTTAATTTGAATAACCCAAGAAATTTTATATTAATTACAGGTTGTAATCTGTGAGATTTTACCACTACTTTTAGCTAAAAATACTGCAATCAACAAGTGCTTTTCAAATAGGTAAATAAGTTTTTCTTTTGTGAATTAGTATAGTGTTATATTAAGAACCACATTAGAAAGTCAAATCATGGCGGGAAGCTTTATAAGAAAGAACTAATTGAGCACCAGCTGACTTCAAATAATGCCAAACAGGTGGTGAGGGAAACAACTCTCAACTAGAACAACAACGGTCAGTTTTAGAAAAATCCTATTTATATAAAAACATAAATTAAACGTAATTTATAAATTATCAAGGGTTCATGAAGGAGGAGGGAGGGGGAAAAAAAAGAAAAAGAAAAATGAGGAGCTGATTCCAGGAGCCCAAGCAGAAAGCGAGAGTTTTGAGAATGATGAGGGCAACGAATGTATAAGTGTGCTTTACATAATTGATGTATGTATAGATTGTGATAAGAGTTGTATAAGCCCCAATAAAATTATATATATATATATATACATACATATATATAAAACCTTCCAAGTTTCTTTAGGACCTCGCTTTCACAAATACTTAGCTGCCACACAGAGAGAATAATTAGAGAAGACAAGCATTGTTTTGTGAACATCTTTCATAATTTCCCTGAATCTGTGAAATATGTCTTACATGTGAGAATGTTTTCATGTTTTTCTGCAAAAACAAATTACTCTATTGCCATAAAATCACAGAAGCTTTGGCTCTCAAAATCAAGGGTGCAGGTGTGTGTGTGTGTGTGTGTGTGAATGTATTTACGTGTTCATGTGTATGTACTTGTGTACGTGTGTGTATTTATAGGTGTGTGTACTTGTGTATACACACAATCAAACGGTAATGGGTAGCATTAAGGATCAAGAAGATGATGTCTGTTGTTTTAGCCTAATTCTAGCAACTAATATCAGTTTTCTCTGGAAAAATGTATGAGATTGAGGGAGAAATGACTTTTCCTTTGAAATTAATAAGCGAATAATGAAGTGCAAAAATGTTATGGTTGGTTATAATACTATAGAAAAGGTTTTCTATAATATGTGGAGTGTGTTTCATTATGTTATGAGAATGAATCTCCATAGAAGGCTAAAATTGGTTAGTAATTGTAAAATGAAGCTTTTCTACACATATATAATTGTGCTCTGAAGCAATGTACAGTAAATACCGAGATGCTTAACAGTGTACCCATTTAATTTAGCAAACAGATATTTAGGAAGTGGTCCTTCATGTCATATTTAGTCTCTGAAATTAGTACCAATAGTTACCACCACCTATCTCATCAATCTTCCCCCTGAGAAAATACAGTGCTAAATAAACTACTGCTACAGAGTTGACTTTAACTCATGATGACTCTGGTTTTTCCAGACTGCCTTTACCAGAGCAGACAGCCTCCTCCTTCTCGCTTGGGGCAGGTGGTGGTTAGCAGTCCAACATGGCACACACACTACCACCACCAGGGCTTCTTCGGAGTTGTACCTCCCTCACTGCCACTGAGTTGATCCCGACTCATAGCGGCCCTTACAAGACAGGACAGAACTACTTCTGTGGGTTTCCGAGACTATAACTCAAACTCTTTATGGGAGTAAAAAATCCTCATCTTTCTCCCATGAGAGAGTGGCTTCAAATTGCTGACCTTGTGGTTAGTGGGGTTGCACAGTGTATTTCAAATTGTGGAGTGGATCAGGGAGAAAATAGCTGTAAGGCAACAGGTTCATTCTTTTTTTTTTTTTTTTAGGTTTTTTTTTTTTTTTTTTTT